CTTATTGGATAACGGCTGACAAAAAAATGAATATTTATTGCATTACATAATACGACCAAAGGTTTATAAACCAGACGGCCTGTGGTAACAATAATTATTGTAAACACCCCCTTAAAATCTTAAATAATAGTAGAATAATATTTATAAAGTTACACATAGTTTGGGTCGAAAATGAAATGAAAAAGGATGAAAAATTAGACCTTCCAAAAACGGCAAACGGTACAAAACCGCACGCCGGCAAAAACGATGTCACCATGCACAGAGGCCACGTTGGTGCCGTCCACTGTAGGCACCGGCCCGGCTGGCGCCATGCAGGACACGCTGCGCTTTCACGTTCAGCGGCAAAAAAAGTGCTCACACTATTGAGTATATCTACCGCTGACTTTTTTTTGGGGGGGGGGGGGTATTTCTTCTAAGCTGTCAAGGGGATATGGGAAAAAATATCTCTCCTTCAGCAAACTTATTCTGTAAGACTGATTTTAACTTGTATGAACAACTTATAAGTTATATGTCGTATGTACGACTAATATATCGACAGGGTACGACATATTTCGACAGGGTACGACTAATATCATCGACAGGGTACGACATATATGTCGACAGAGTATGACATATCAAACATGTGACATAATGTCGACAGGTGCCGGTGCAACATATATGTCGTGCATTAGTCGAGTCGACAGGGTACGATATACTTTTGTCGCATACGACAAAGTCGTATATAAGTACGACTTAATATCTCGTGTGTACAAAATATGAATTGTAACTCGTATGTTTGACCTGTTTGTCGATTATGTCGTACATGCAACATATCTTGTGAGAACGACTTGTATCTTGTGCGATTTACATCTACGACTTACATGTCGTACGTATGTCGTAGGTACGACATATACGATTCATACGTACGCGTTAAAATACATGTGTCGTACGTATGAGATGTAATTTGCACATGGTATGTATTCAGGGAGAGTTTTGTTTTCACCATGTACCTGACAGTTTCGTATATTTCCATCCCAAAGTCAATAGCTCGTTTCTTGCAGTTAATTCATACGGGTGCTTATAGATACGAGTTAACCTGCATTCGATTAAATGGGTATGATTTGACCTGGGTCCGAGTTGACCTGTTCCCTACATTCGCTGTCAGAATAGCACGGGCAGGTAGCGGTGTGATAATGTACGCTGTTGCACCGACAAAACGTCGGCGGACTGTCTTGAACTGTCCAATTCGCAATACATTGGAAATAGTATCATTTTGAACAAATTGTTCACTCATATAGCGGCATGTTTCATTTGTTTGTAATACAACTGGAGAAATGGTTTAAAATGGGATTGAAATACCTGGACATACCATGGTTTGAGTAAACATACATGTACATGTACGTGGTGTATGCAGTAATTTGTGGGTCATGAATATGTATGTCGCAGGTCAAAGTTTACGGGCTTTGATTGGATATCGTGTAATATATGCGCATCAGAAATTTTCGGCCGATTTCGGTCGAAACTATAAAGAAACACATAAGGAATTCGCCACGGTTGCGTCAAGGCTATCTTGCGCTTCGACTTATTGTACGGCTGTTTGCGGAAGTGTGTGTGGGGCGTACGTACAATACATGCACACAAAGCACACGCAAGGGTCGTTGAGGCTAACGGTATAGTACAACTAGTGATTGTGTCGCGGCGCGGCGCGCGCGGTGTGCGGTAGCGGGAACAAGCTCGTATGAGAACAAGCTGATAGCCTTGGTCAAGGCTAACGAAAGCGTTGCAAAATTTGGTAAATAATTGCCTACTGAAATATTTTCTGCCAAAAACTTAGTCTAAGTGTTGAAATACGTAAAGATAAAGGAAATACAACTTTCTGCTCTTATAAATCTCAGTTTTATAATCTAATATCAGAAATAATCTTTAAAAACTTTAGTCCAATTCTGAACGGATTTTAAAAGCTAGGAGGCGGCCATCTTAACCTAATTCTATTTTTAGCGCACTCACACAAACACATGGCAGTGGCCGGCAGTGAATATGAAAACAGCTGACGGTTGGTGAATACTAGCGATAAAATAAGTCATCAAACAGTTATAAAAGTGGATGGAACCTAATAAAAAGTTACCCAGGCGTAAAGGTGAGTCTAAGAAAATGACCAGGGCGGCATTTTCGTCACACCATGTACATTTAGATAGTAATATGATTTTTTTTGTTGGAAGTGTAGATGGTGATATGATAAAATATGTTGTTGTCACGCCCCAACTATCGCATCGGTCCCAACTATAGTTGGGCCTGTCCCAACTATAGTTGGGCCTGTCCCAACTGTAGTTCCACAGTTGGGCTGGCCCAACTATAGTTGGGCCTGTCCCAACTATAGTTGGGAGTCTTGGGACGGTCCCAACTGTAAGTTCCATTGTTGGGCTGGCCCATCTATAGTTGGGCCACTCCGATCTTTTTATTTTGCGGTGTCCCAACTATAGTTTACATTGATGTACAACCATAAAACGTTCCCTACAGCTCTGATACACGTCTGACTTTACTGGGGACCACTGAAATTAGCTATTGATGGGGCGAATCTATAGTTGGGCCACCGCAATATTTTTATTTGGCAGTCCCAGCTATAGTTTACATTAATGTACGATTATAAAACATTCCCTACAGCTCTGCTTACATGTCCGACTTGGGACCTTTGACATTAGCTATGGGTGGGGCCCATCTATAGTTGGCCGGCCATGGCAATCTTTGAATTTTGCAAAATGTTGCTGGATAATAAAACCCAGCAGCTGGACAACTTGTCCAACTAGGCAGTACCACGTGACCGGCCAGCCTTGCGGCATGCATGCACGACGAATACACGGTGCCAGCGCCGCGGAACATTTAATCCAACAAGATCTATCAAGCATGAAGCATCCGGCGCAACTCCCGTCCTAACTATAGTCTAGTTGGGCCGACCCAACTGCCGCACTATAGTTGGGACAGTCCCAACTATAGTTGGGACCGATGCGATAGTTGGGGCGTGACATTGTTTTTTTGGTAGAATATACTTCGCATTTATAAAACATATTATATTTGCAATTTTAAAACATACCAGTTCTTCAGGACAAATCAAAGAACAACAAACAAATTAAAGAACAACAAGGCTCCTGGCACTGATAGCATCCCTCCAGAGGTACTTAAGAAGGGTGGTAATATCTTGGCTGCAGAGCTCCACGCTGTTCTCCTGACCTGCTGGAAATCCCAGTTAATACCACAGGATCTAAAGGATGCAAACATCATAACCCTCTACAAAAACAAAGGTAACCGACAAGACTGCAATAACTACAGAGGCATCTCACTGCTGTGCTTAGCTGGGAAGGTTTTTGCTCGAGTGCTGTTACCTCGGCTACAGGTCATTGCCAACAGAATCCTTCCCGAAAGCCAGTGTGGCTTCCGCCCATCCCGCTCCACTGTTGACATGGTGTTTTCCTTGAGACAACTCCAGGAGAAGTGTGTTGAACAGCGGCGACCTCTGTACATGGTCTTCATCGACTTGACTAAGGCCTTTGATAACGTGAGTCGTTCAGGCCTGTTTTCCATCCTAAAGCGCTTGGGCTGCCCAGATAGGCTTTTGTCTATTCTGATGTGTTTTCATGACGACATGCACGCCACAGTCCAGTTCAATGGCTCAAGATCTGCTAAGTTTGAAGTTCGTCGGGGCGTCAAGCAGGGGTGTGTACTTGCTCCTACCCTGTTTGGGATCTTTTTCTCAGCCCTGCTACACCGTGCATTTCCCGAACCATCTGGTATCCTACTTCACACACGCAGCTCCGGGAATTTCTTCGACCTGTCCCGTCTCCGTGCCAGGACGAAGATTCGGCATGTTCTCACCCGGGAACTCCTGTATGCTGACGATGCTGCCATTGTTGCCCACTCAGCAGATGAGCTTCAACATCTCTGCAACTCATTTGCCAGTGCTTGCTCGGAGTTTGGCATGATCATCAGCCTTGGCAAGACAATGGTGTTATCGCAAGGCCCAGGTCCCCCTCCCATGATCACCATCAATGGCACACCTCTGAGCGTGGTCAACAAATTTCAGTATCTGGGTTCTACAGTTACCAGCACCAACTCCCTGGATACCGAACTTGACTCCCGAATAGGTAGGGCTGCAACCACCTTTGGCCGACTCCGTGCTCGTGTTTGGGACAACCGGGCCCTTTCCATCAAGCTGAAGATCCGCATCTACGTATCCTGTGTGCTTAGTGTGCTACTCTACTGCAGTGAGTCATGGCCGACCTACCGCCGTCAGGAACGCCGACTGAATGCGTTCCATTTCCGCTGCCTACGTTCAATTCTTGGAATCTCCTGGCAAGACCGAGTCTCAAACCCTGCCATTCTTGAGCTCACAGGAGTCAACGACATGTTCACATTGCTGTCAGCTCGCCGCCTTCGTTGGTCTGGTCATGTCTGCAGACAAGAGGACGGTCGACTGCCGAAGGACATCTTCTTTGGGGAGCTGGCTCATGCTCCTCGCCCCCGTGGTCGTCCAAAACTCCGTTACAAGGATGTTCTAAAGCGTGATCTGCGAACCTTCCGAATCCCAGTCACCTCCTGGCAGACCGTGGTGCAGGACCGCACTCATTGGCGATCCGCTGTACATCTTGGCCGCTCTGCTTCCTCTGCCGCCTATATTGCTGATTGCGAGAATCGTCGTGCAGCTAGACACCGAGCTACATCGTCGTATTCGACGGGATAGGCCACTACTATGCATGTATCACAAAAAGTAACCTTTAAAGATTATCAAAGGCTTACTTGAATTAAAGATAGTAAATTCTGGTACAAAACACCGTGTGAAATTATTCCGTCTGGCTTGCTGTCGTTTAGAAGAACTCAACTTGACGAAATGTAGGTGATTTCCACTCCAGCAATAATTGACGGATGAAAAGGAGGAGTGCTATCAGCGAAATCGTGTTTCGTGATCAAAAGGTTGTGCATGTTCAATTTTTAACTTTTTTTTCTAAAAAGAGTAAAACATCCACTCAAAATCAAGTTCAACAAGTTAGAATTCAACATCCTTGGATTCTGAGTAATGTTATTATTTGGAACGAAGCAAATGCATAATGATTTCTATAATACATAGAAAAAAACAGATACAGAATCGTGTGAAAAAATATAAATAAAAAAGGAACTATTCTTTTGAAACTTTGTACTTCGGAATCTTCGATACACATTTGAAGACATCTTGCCACTGTCAGGTACCGGTACGTGTTGTCAGCCGGCAGTCTTAATATCGCCTTTACAGGTCAGCATATAGGCCCAAAACAGGGGCGGATCCAGGGATTGTAGGGGATATCAAGCTCGTCCATTTTTTTTATGTTCGATTGTTGCGGAAAGCCTACGGACATATGTAATTATTATTACTTGTTATTTTGTGTGGTGTCAAAGCAGAATACCTAAAAACTAGATATGGTTAAATCTATGAAGTACCCGTCATTAGTGATCTGCTTGCTATTGGTTTTGGTATTAGCAAAGTATTAGTTATTGTTTTGGACACGATTTGAAATCGATTTGCCAGCTAACGTCGTCAACTGTAGGACACTACTTGCCTTCAAGGATACAGTGCATCCCATCACTTCATGGACAAATAAGTCAATTTACTAAGGTCATCTCCACATCCACTCCATGCAAGTCATAAGGTCAAAAGTTGGTGCGATATTCTTGAGTGAATTTTACCAACTCAACCAGAAGAACCAGAACCAGAACCAGCACAAGAACCACAACCAGAACCAGAAATCAAAGTGAATTGCTTTTATGGACACACGAAGAGGAGTAAACAAAGAATTTTTTTTGTATGGCTTTGCCGATGAGTGACGGGAATCTTTTCCCTTTTGAAGACTTGGTGCCTTTCCCTCTAGTCAGCCTAGAAATCGTACTGGACATTCCCGGTCAAATAGCCCTTGAGGTACTTCTGGTGAATCTCTTTGCTGGTGAGGATGGCCTTGACAGTTGGGTTGGCCAACATCCGCTGGAAGTAGGCGTCCAGGTCTGGCAGCTTGGGTTTAATGAGGGCCATCAGTGGGTCCGAGACCGCCAGGCGCTCGTTGAAGGGCCAGGTGATGAAGTCCACCATGTTGGGCTGCTGGCCTGTGGCAGGGAATCAAGAGGTCGGGAAACTCAAAGTGAAGCTCACAAAAGAGAAAATTCTCGGCAAGAAATATGTTGCACCTGCCCCCCCTCCAAAAAAAACCCATGCAACTGATGTCAGATGTCATCTTCAGGAAATTGCAGTAGAAATCATGTGTTTTGCCAGCCCCCCCCCCCAACCCCTTGTGAAATGTTTAGTGTGGTTTTTACAGTTTCAGTTCCATCTAGACAAAATCATGTTTCCTGATCAAAAGGTTGTGAATGGTTTTCTACACTTTTCTCTAAAACTGATGATCCACTGAGCTGAAACTTCAACAGGTTAGGTTTTGAGCATTCTTCTTTGGATTTTAAGTGGTGCTATTAAAAATGCAGGAAACGCAAATGAACCTTTATGCCTTTAATTAAAAAAAACCATTGTGCTATTACGGGCAATGAAAATAAATGTTGCATTTTTAGTATTCCACGTTTCTTACCGCCAAAGAACGGAGTTCCTCGTTTCTTGAGCTCGGCATCAAATAAGGTCAGGCCAGCCAGGAGTTTTGTGGCTGCTTCTTCGTTCTGCTCTCCAGACTTGATTACCTGGAAGAATGCTGGAATCACCTGAAGAGTCAACCAATCAGATGACAGTTTTTTAACTTAACCACTTAACCACTTAAAAGGCAAGGTATCTCATACAATATTTGTACGCTACTTCTCACCGTAACTTCTTATTTTGCTACACTTTGAGGCTTTGCCACGGAGCGATATTTGCTACGACGACAGGCCGTGTACAGTGGCCAAGGTTCAAGTCCAAAACATGGTGTGAACAAAACCATGGAGAGCCAATGACGAGTACACACACCCACAGCTGGAGACTCAGGAATGCTTGATGATGGTTTAACCCGTCACCCACCCCTGTGATTATACATTGCCAGATCGTGTTTACACGTCCTCCGGTGTTACCTGGTTAAAGAGGACTGCATTCAGAACTTAGCAGGGGAAGCAACTGGTCCCCCCCCCCCCCATTTGCCATTTGTTTTGGTCAGAAACCCCCTCCCGGCCTCCCCCACCTGCTATTGACAGTATTTTGTACACTCTAAAAACTGTGTTTAGCAATGAAATACAATCTTGCTATCACTTTGTAAACATGTTTAGAAGCTAAACATTACGTGTCCAATTCCTAAATATCAATGTTCAATGGCTAAACACTATATTCCATCCTTACTTTAAACATGTTTAGTATTTAAACATGTTTACAAACTGATAGCAAGAAAGTGTTGAGAAAAGTGTTTAATTGCTAAACACAGTTTTTGCAGTGTACAGAAACAACAGTCACGGACTTCTGCAAAAAACATTCACAAAACAAGAATGCTTCAGGCTTCCTTAAGTTTTTAATTCAACAAAATACCCTCCGCAGTGGGATGGGGGAAAAAAAGTGCTGTCCCTTTTGCTTAATTGTCAAGTTCACAAGTTCTTCATTCAAAGATAGCCGAATGATTCGGTGAGAGCCCCTTCAGCCTGGGTTGACCCTGAAAATCCTAGCCAAACGCTAGCTCCTCTGACAACCACGGTATGTCTGTGTAAGAAAATCCCACTGAGTCTAGCCGACCTCAACTGCAGCGCACAGAAGGATATTTGGATACACGACAGAAAGGTTGGAGATGATTTGAAAGAACAAAAACATAACTACCTTTGATGAATAGGTATCCATGACCATCTTATCCTTGGCCTTCTCAATCGGGTCCTTGGGGTAGAGAGGCGGGTCGGGATACAACTCGTCTACGAGATCACAGATGATGTTGGACTCGATGACGACTCTGCCGTTGTGTTCAAAGACGGGGACCTTCCCATCTGGATGTCGCTCCAAGAGAAACTCTGGCTTATTCTTCAAGTTGCAGTTGATCTCTTCATAACTGGTAAAAAAAATCAACTTCTTTTGATATATTTTCTGGACATGATTGACCATGAGCATGAATCTGTTATAGGGTTTGGTCATCCATGTTTCTGAACCTACAACATAACATTACCACAAACTGGAACTCGGTAATATAAAATGACAAGCCCATCACAAGTTCGATGAAAAATAATTTTCACAACTCCAGCCACAAGGTGAACCGTGAACAGTCACGTTTGTGCAGTGGTTACTTTCCTCGCCTTCCATCGCTACAGCCCGGGTTCGATTCCTGCCCTGACCACATGATGTCACATGTGGATGGGTTTTCAGTCCCTACCTGATTCCGGGGATTTAACTTTCCCCCAGAATATTCTTATGGGGTTTTCCTCCCTAAAACTTCTTCTCATTGTCTTCTCTCTACAGGTTTTCTTCAGGCCTTCGAGCTACAGTGCCTAGGGCACTTTTGAGGAATCCTTGGTTTCATTATCAGAGGGAAATAAATAAATACAAATTAACAAAGGACAAGCTTTGCCACAGTTTGTTTGAATAGCTTGTGATTTGACTTGAGGCTGGACTTGTGATGGACTTGAAGACAAAGCTGATGATAAGATTTGAAGGTTTGCATGGTGAAAAGAGCAATAAGAGTACCAATCTCTTTTGAGATGGTTAGGTAATGAAAACAAGCTTGAAAAGATCTCGGAAGCTGTGGCCCAACTGTAGACCTGCTGTAGCCTATAAGTAATGTTCAATGTACATGATGTAAAAGTCTCTTCCTAAAATGCACAACTACTCACGTGGTCGTGACTGTCAACTGAAAAGGATTCCCATTATTTTGTTGCACGTCAGTTGGTGCATGTAGCGTTTTAATGCATGTGGAACACCCAATTTGTGTGCATTACAGTGCCAGCCCCAAGGCGAAATGAGTGACCTCCAATTTCCCACTACTGCAATAAATTGGTAGCTGGTGGAGACCTGAAGCACGTGTGTTGTCGCGAGGGCCTAAGGGACAAGGTGATTGATGGCCAAAAAAAAGGATGTGCTGACATTTGTTACAAACCAACCAACCAACCAACGATGAAACATGACTACTTCTAGAGCTGTTCAGCCGCAGCTACGAACCAGGGGGAACTCAATATTTCGGACAAAGGAGACTGAGACTCATATTAAACTTGTTGAAAGCTGAGTGTCCGTACAATAAACACCTTATTTTTCATCCCTTGAGGCCACTTTATTCTGTTTATTATTATTTTTTTAGAACTTTTTTTTTTAACGATTTGATCATTGATCTATTGGCAAAATATTTTTAACCTGAAAAATTAATGCAGCCTGACGTTGCAAACTTAACAAGTTCTTCTTCAGAAGCAAAATGACGGAGGTACAAGAAACAAACATGTAGGCGCTCACAAGCATGCAGGGTTGGGAGCAGAAACACAAAAGGGATTAATTAGGTGGGGGACACCAGTGTACATGTAGGTGAAGATAACAAAGGATGGAGTGGAAGGCCTAACAAAGGACGGACAAATATTTTGGGAAATATTTTTTCCAAAAAAGAAAATTGTCTATGCAAATAGATGTCTATGTCTTACTCGATTCCCTTGGCCTTTAGAACCAAGCGAGGGCGCTGTGCAAATGGACAGTACTTCATGCTGTAGAGACGAATGGATCCATCCTTTAAGGCTGGCAGAGGCTGACCTGTACATTATCAAAATAATCGATAAAAATGTTGAAAACAAATCGTATTAATTTCATCGGAATCTACGTTTTGAACGATGTGGTTACGCTGTGTAATTGGTCTCTTTCATGAACGATATGAGGACGTTCTTTGTTATGTTAATCTAGTAACAATTTATACACAAAAGTTTTACTCATGCCTATCCATGCAATACAAAACCATTGCCCTCTGAATCCGCCTTAACGCATAAGGTCAATTGGTGGCCTGTCACAAGCATTTTTTATTTACAATCCTCTACTGGGAACTTTCAGGAATTCAGGAAAAGCATCAGACAGACCAATCACAGGGCACTTTGAGGGGTCACCTTATTGGTCTAAAGCTACGCGGTCCTTTTTCTACGCACTCACATTCAATTTGTGTGTGACAACGCGCGCGCGTTACAAGCGTTACCTGCGCAGATAATGGAGGGTCGAGGATACATCTATATATAAGAGCAAGTTTTACTCTGCCTCCGAGAAATGTTTGCTCCTGAAAGGATCCGAGACCGCGGGCTCCGCGGCTCCAAAATCGCTCCACATCCGTGGAAAAATGCGGAGGGTGTCTTCCGCCGGGTCGGACATTCCGGGTCGTCTTAATTTTCCCGTACGGACCGGCGATCCGTTTCGTCGATTTTTCGTCACAGGAATTTTTGCACAGGAATTTGCCGTCGTGTGCGCTTTCACGTTGACTGCCTGGCCGCCCCTGCTGGCTTTTCTTCGAGTCAAGTCTGTGCGTGGTCAGCGGCTTCAACGTAGGGGTTCCGTTTACGTGTTCTACTTGGCCGTTCTACAAAAGTGTTCATCAAACGGTAGTCTGGGGTGACCTTGGCAAAATATTTTTTCTCCATGGTGCGTGGCCACCAAGTGCCCCTATTCTTTCCTATGCTTTGCTCACCTCCCCTGCGCCGAGTGCAATGAATACTTGGAAGGACTACACTTTAGAATGCCTTGCACGGTCTGACCAATCGAAAGTCTACACCAGAGTTGCTGACTCGAGTCATGTGACTTGGACTCGAGTCGGACTCGAGTCGCTATTTTTGTGACTTGTGACTTGACTTGTAAATACCAGCTTTGACTTGTGACTTGACTTGGACTTGCAAACAATGACTTGTGACTTGACTTGGGATTGCAAAAAAATGACTTGTTACCAACCCAAGTCAGACGCTACTCGAGCGACCCAATACACTTTAATTAAGCTATTTTACTTTTAATTAGCTATTCGGTTTACGCCTTACGTGCAATAAAAAAACGGACTTTGGCTTGCGCGGTTTCTACTTTGCCCAGCTGCAGCTGTAGATCATATCAGTGAGCTGAGCTGTTACGTTGCGTACGCGTGAGTGAAATAAATAGCGCCCTCAATATGTCATAATTGACAAGCAAGCATGCCGGCTTCTAGCGGTGTTGTTTCGCATACCGAGATTACAATTCAACTGCAGCAAGTAAAAGGTCTGCTGTTTGTAAAATATGTGGATCCACCGTCACTGATGGCCCAAACACAACGAGCAATTTCGTGCGGCACCTTAAAACCCACGATGAGCGGTGAGTAGTCGCGCTGTGACTTTTTCTCGGGGGGGGGGGGGCTTAACCGCGAATAGATTTTCGGTCATTCTGGTCTGCGTACAAACTCTTGCTTCATATGGCTATTGATAATTGAATCTAAATAACTTCTAGCCTCTTGTACTTGAAAATCTGCCCTAGACCGAATGTATATTTTCCCTTATTGTAGATCGGGCATGTCTGCATGTAAAGGCTCCATCTATACTACAATTCAAGGAATCTCTGTCTGTCTGTCTGTCTGTCCGTCTGTCTGTCTGTCTGTCCGCCGATTATCTCCAGAACCGGGCACCGTATGGAGTTGAAAATCGGCGGGTGTGTTGCTCGGGACAGCAGAATGTGCAGTGCCGAGTTTGAAGTGGTTTGGACCAGCGGTTGTCGAAAAAGCTGCAAAAAAGCAGTATTTTCTTAAGCCTAGCGTGGCAGTACAGCTTAGAACATAACACCACGCACTGTCGTTCTTTTCAATTGTTTACGTCATGTTAAGCTAAAGCGCGCGTGCTCAATATGACGCCAACAATGCAAAAAAGACTCGGGCACCGTTACGCGCCATAACTTTATTGCACACGCACGGGCATTGTAGGACGGTACTATTGTCCAGTCTGGGTGAATGTATAGCATTGCGTACCATGTTACCGTTTGTACCCCTACGTGTTAGCTGCACGGGCACATTATTTTTGCAGTCGACTGAGCGACCTTACTGCAGGACGATCCCATTGTCCAGTAGGGGAAAGTAATATCTGCGCTATTTTTGCAGCCTTTTTTTGAGAAACACTCGCCCAAACAATTTCAAACTTGGCACAAACTTTGACGTGTGCGTTCAACCTGTGAAAACAACACCAATGAATCGCGTGCGTTGTTTGCACGAGCAGTTCTCAAAAACTGCAAGCATGCAACCAATACCTGCGGCAGGCAATTTGCGCTTCCCAAACAAGCACATATTAGACAGCAAAAAAGCGGTATTTTCGGAGGCAAACGTGGCAGCTTAGAACATAGCACCACGCACTGCCGTTCTTTTTAAATGTTTACGTCATGTTTAAGCTAAAGCGCGCGTGCTTAATATGACGCAACAATGCAAAAAGGACAGGCACGCGCACGTGCATTCTAGGGCGATACCATCAACCTTAACAATCAACCTTAAGGCAATCAACCTTAACCAGTACCAGCGGTCAAGCAAGTTGCCCCTCCCGAATAGGCACATTTTCAACTTGCCCCTCCCGAACAGGCAAATTTTCAACTGGCCCTGCACTAGTGGTAACAATACAAATGTAGGCCTACATGTGAATGGGTGCGTGCGGGTCAAAGGTTTTGGAAGTGGCTTGTTTTAACCATCACATCTCAAGGTGTTTATAAATGCAGTTTGTAGATGCAGCGAGAAAGTTTCATTCCAGAAAATAGACCTCAGTGACTGAATCCAGTAAAATGAATAGTTTCCACTAGTTTCAAAAGTTTTCAATAAGACTGTCACAACAAACTACAGTTTTCAATGACCAAGTCTCTTGCTTAATGTAATGGTTGAACAAACTTTGAAAGGAACCTTTCATGAAAAGAAAGCAGGCCTTTGTCAATTGCATGTAAAATACCGGATAGCTTAACCCATCGGTAGGCGTTTAGTATACATGAAAATTGAACAAATAATTGAACAAAGTGTTAGTATACTACATGTAATCGAGTGAGTGAAGTCTTTTTTTCATGTCATCTCAACATTTATTTCTACAATGTAAAGTAAATTTATTAAAGTATACAAAGGGCTAATATCCGACAGATATGTGATAAACTACAAGTAATTGCAACACATTGAAAAAGGGGAATTAAGGAGGCATGTTCAAAGTAACTCGTAAGTTGACGCCAGGTTCTTTTAGCTTATTACAGCTGGACAAAATAATGTGCAACTTGACGTGTTCTTGTGACTTGACTTGTGTTTAGACCAAATGACTTGTGACTTGACTTGTGACTGGACCTAATGACTTGTGACTTGACTTGGACTTGCAAACAATGACTTGTGACTTGACTTGGACTTGCAAACAATGACTTGCTGCCACCTCTGTTGGATGGCGACATGAGAAAACCGCAACAAATACCACCTTACCGTCACAATTTCTAACATTTTCTTGCCTTCTTACTACATGGGTTTATGAAACAAAACTTAGTCTCGAAGAAAATTAATATAAATCATTATCGAACACACTCCATACTTCTTAGAAACACAAGCGACACAAAAATGGCACATTTGAACACTTTAGCGGAGAATGGCCCTTTAGACTGTCACTCAGTCCCTAACAATTCAGTAAGGTATTTCGTGGTAATTTGATCATTGCGTTTTGTGATGTTTGCAAATGTTGTATTTTCCCTTTAACTCCCCACATATTCATCCCCAACACAAATACGCCCTACCCGATCTATGATCGGGTAAATCAGCTTGTCAATAATAATGTGCATTGCTTGTTTTTGTCATGCACATATAAAGTTTATATTCGGGCACTGGGCAGTGACTCGCTCACCGGCTTCGAGGTGTTTTTCTGACATGATTGCTGCTAGGGTGCTGCTGGGGTGCTACTACGCTGTGCTGCTAGATGCGCTGCCGATGACTGTTTGACGACGACACAAGCCTTCGGTTGACGTGATTAAGGACTCTTATGCTGCGCCGAAAATGCCTTGTCACGAACAAAAATGGCAAACTCATTCAACTTCAGGTACTCGAATGGGATGGGGTCAAGTTTCAGCAAGCTTGACAATTATTTGTCAAGCTCTGCCGCACTCTAGCTATGCTCAATCAAAGGTCAACATCATGCATAACACGTAACATGCACGTGACCGGTGTGGATCACTTCGCTCGTACCCCCGGCGGCCAATATTTTATTTACACAATAGTACAGGGTACCCATTTTTCAGGCGACTTGAATCAAGGTTATAGGATTGTAGAGCGCCGCTACAAGGCGCTCTCTACTACGCACATGTGGAGATCTCCACATGTGGAGATCTCCACATGCAAACAGAGTACGGTCGTACGACCGAATGTGGATCACCAGCAGGATGAAAGGACGCCCTCAACTTAACTGGTCATGGACTTCAACTTACACGCCCTCAACTTATAACTCTCTGGTCATGAACTTCAATTTGGGTTATGACAAAATTGTCCGTAGGGGGTTGCTAAAAATGTCATGCATAATTCAGTTTTCCTTTTATGAATCGTAAAATAAATAGATAAATTCAGAGAAGAAAAATAGTCGATGAAAACTTGAGCAGCGACGACCATATGACTGCGCGCGCGGTGGATTCGAACCAGATCTTTGTCATGATCCGTAGCTCATGCTTTAAATTAAGGTAACTGGTTGACTGAATAACAACAATGCTCTTGATATCATTCTTCTATTCATTAATAAATATACTGACCCGATCAAAACTATTGAATTTTTCATGACTTTGGAGCATCCCGCCTACGGAAAAGGAAATCGGGGGGGGGGGGGGAGCGTGGATCCATTTTCATGCATAGCGCCCTCTCCTGGATTCTTTAGGCCAAATAAGGTACACACGACGTGATCTCCACCATCAGCAATAATAATTGACCATTTACATGTACATGTATATAGTAATATGAATTGTTATTGTTGAACGTGTATATGATATTTATTTATTTATTTTTGTAGAATGTACTTCGCATAAAACATATATTTGCAAAATTTTAAAACACCAGTTCATCAGAGGACAAATCAAGTTTGAGAAAGGATAAGGCTTGGGGATCAATATGCATGTGTCGCAAAAAGTAACCTGTAAAGATTGTCAAAGGCTTGCTTGAATTAAAGATAGTAAATTCTGGTACTAAACACCCTGTGAAATTATTCCGTCTGGCTTTCCAGCGTTAATTAACAGATTTTTCGTAATAAGGAGGAGTGTTATCGACGAAATCGTGTTTCGTGATCAAAAGGTTGTGCATGTTCAATCAAAATCCACTCAAAATCAAGTTCATCAGGTTAGGATTCAACATCCTTGGATTCTGAGTAATGTTATTATTTGGAACGAAGCAAATGCATGAAAATTATAATACATGTAAAGGAAAACAAAAACAGATTGCTAATTACAGCGAATGGTCTAATAAGATTGGTGTGAAATTTGGGGGTTTTTTTTAAGAGTAACTGTTCTTTTGAGACTTTGTACTTCGGAATCTTCGATGCAGAGTTGAAGACATCTTGCCACAGTCAGGTACGTGTTGTCGGCCGGCAGTCTTAGTCGCCTTATTATGGGTATACAGGTCAGCAAATAGGCCCCAAACAGGGGCGGATCCAGAAATTGTAGGGGGGTCAAGCCCGTCCATTTGTTTATGTTCGATTGTTGCGGAAAGCTAGCTACGGACATTATGTAATTATTATTACTTGTTATGTTGAGCTTGTCTTACATACGCAGTGTGGACTTCCGAACAAAAGACGTCCACATAATGTAGGTAGCAGCGACGAAGTGTGGACTTGCCCACGTCCACACAGTGTTTCCCCATTTCTGGAAAACAGGTTTAGAGGCATTTTTGGGTTAGGTTTATCTAGCAGAATGAAGAGAAACACTAAAGGGAATCATTGAAAAAAATTGGGTTGTAAGAGTTTTCACAGTTTGAGAAAAATGAGTTTTTCCACTGGTGTTCCTTAACTACACGAAAAGAAAGGAAAGTCCACACTAGGTATGTGAAACAAGTCTGGGTGTGTGTGGGTGTGTGTGTGTGTGTCAGAGCAGGAGGGGTCGACCCCTCCCCCCCCCCCCCCCGATCCGCGTCTTCCAAAATTGGTACCTAAGCAGCCGAAAATCACGATTTGCACGCGCTTTCGAATTCAGCGTTTTTATTTGAACTTGAGGGCAGTGGCGTAGCCAGGAATTTTTCAGTGGGGGGGGGGGGGGGGGGGGGGGGCGCTGGGGGGGGGGGCTGGCACATTTCATGGGGGGCGTCATGTAGATCAATGATAATTGTTTTGGAAACTCAAAATCTCAGTGGGGGGGGGCGACTGGGGGGGGGCGACAAGGTTTCATGGGAGGGCTGTCGCCCCCCCCCCCCACGCCCCCCCCCCCCCCCTTGGCTACCCCACTGCTTGAGGGGTTTGTGAAAAAAAGGTGGAAGCCGTGCACTGGACTAAAATTGGGCCCTAAAAATATTCTATTTCGCAATTGAGCCAATGGTATACCATTTTTCAAAATGGCGATGGGCTTCATGACTCTTTTTTTTTTAGGGATCCTCTTTGGATGAACATTTTTCCCAAAAGACCTTAGATTACCCCACATTATTTGAACAGAAAATGAAAGATGATGAAATAAAGCTTTGGTTTGATGTGTGTCTGGAACACCTCGGAGAGTTGTGAGTATTTTTCCTGAATTTCTGAAGTGGGGACATTTATCATTGGAGTTCACTTTTTTTTTTACTGGTCTGCATTGCAACCGTATGCTGGTACCAGTACATATCGATTGCAGCTATAAAAATGCAAATAATGTTTCAACAAGGTTTTACGATTTCCTATCCTTTCATTGTCTGTTTTTCCCCACAGTTTGTCGAGAACGCTGCGATATATTCATCATAAAGTTGACTTGACAAGTAAAAAAAAAAAAGGGGGGGACCTTTTTTCCTTATACAGCGTGTCCCAATAAACATTGTGCTTGAAGAAATTGTGATTTTCTCAAAACTTGGTCAGACTAGCTAATCAAATTTTAAAGCATTTTCAAGCCTATGCTCTTATTGATAATTGGTGAAAAAAAATCCAAAAAATCCAAGTAGGCCTATATGCAAACCACAGATATCTTTGATTTGGTAAGGCTATGTATTTTTGACGTGCACAATGTAATTTCCACACTACTATTTGCTGATTGGGTTATTGGTATATGTGTTACGCAATGCTTGAAATCATCATTGCATGGCCTTTATGTTGCATTTGGATTAAGGGTGTTCACAGATAACATTTTGGGTAAATAACATTAAATAATCAAATTTAATACCGCATGGAATGCATAATATCGGGTGTTTACTGTTTAGTCTTTGACAAAGATTTTGAAAGGACAATGAACATGCAATCTTCTTTGACAGCTGAAATGTATAAGCTTAATACAGGATTCTAATTGTGCAGGAGGAAAATAATATAGCCTTACAAATTCAACGATATCTCTGGTTTGCATGGATAGATTTTCTTGATATTTTCACCCATTATAAACAAGACCACAGGCTTTCAAAATTACATTTGATTAGCTATAGTATGACCTTATCAGCGACCATGGGCGTCACGAGGGGGGGGGGTGGCAAGGGGGAAGTTGCCCCCCCCCCCCGACAAGCAAAAAATAAATAAATAAATAAAAAGGAGGGGGAAGGGAAAAAAAGAGGTGCGACTGAATCATATAATTAATTTAATGGGTTGGGGGGGGGGCGAATGTCCCTGCCCACCCTCGAAAAAAAAATGATCAATCGGGAAATCGCTGGATAAAAGATAGGAATTTTTGAAAAACTTGGGCTTTGTCCCCCTCTAGAAAAAATCCTAGCGACACCCAGGCATGTCAACGACTTCTTAATGGCACAATGTTTATTGGGACACGCTGTACCTTAAGCCTCGTATTTTGTCTGCTATACTTTCTATAACGTTTCACTGCAGGGGCAGATTAAGACTGTTGAGTTGGCTGGCTAAATTACCCTACCCTCTTCCATTTGACCATTATTCCACAAAACAAATCTAAACGTTCTTTCCTGAAATAATGTCCGGTCCAGTATCGCAAATCTCGATTCATTGCAATGGTCTTTGACGTCATTCACCTTAAATGTGTTATTCAACACCAGAGTCCCAACTCGAAAAACTGCAATAAGTTTCGATCAAAATCGCACTTCGAAAGGATTAATCGTAAGAATTAATATCACCAAGAAGAATTCTAAAAATGCGACATATAACATTGTCTTTATTGATAGTGGGAGGAAATTGTCAAAACGAAGTCTAAAATGCCGATAGTATAACATTTTCTTGTGGTAGCAAACTCTTCAACACTTTCGTCAACAAAATTTTGTCAACAATTTACGTCTGTAGTCCTGCGCAGCTGTGACCATCATTGTATGCAGATGGACATAAAACGGATGCTGATGCAATATTTTGGATGGGTGTATTGATTATATAGAACACGGTGAATCAACATGTTTCCGTGTTTGTGATGCAAAATATAGGAAGGCCATTATGCATGTCTACATCAAAATCAGATAATTTTACGGCAATTATATTGTGCCGATCTCAGTGAATACAATTTTCTGGCAAGGTTTTACCCATGATTTTGTTGTCTAGTAAGCGGCCAACCCAAAACTGCACGACAATTGTATAAATTGTTACAAAGTAAACAGCTAGGACTAAATAAGGGAGCATATTCAGGTAGCTATGCATGACAATATTTCGTTTGTGTCCAAAAATATTCGATGGAATACAAAATGATAAAATTACAAGCGGATTCGCGGAATTTAAACAAAATCTCTTTTGTAAAAGGTAGCCTCGTCTTTAACGATTGACCGACGCTCAGTGGACCGCTGCGTTCGTCACAGCCCGCCAGATTAAATGCCATTCCCAGGTCAAATCCGAGATTTAAATATTTTCTCTCTTTGTTGCCTCTGAAAACACGTCCCCATGGGAACCAACAATGAAGATTACCTTTGACAACAGTCCTGAATAACCTGGCTTTAGAAAAACGAACAACCTGCATGAATAGACAGTATTTACTTTCCGGGCAAAAACATCCATTCACGGTGCGGCGAAGCCGACACACCCTCGCAATGCCCACTGTACGCCCACGCACACGTACCGGCGTGTTTGCATTCACCATACCAGCTGTTCGGAATGTGAAGGGAAAAAATAACGAAAACAGACATGACAGACTAACCACAAACTAGTATCACAGGATGAATATTCGCATAATTATGGCATAAAACAGGAAACAAAGTAGTGGTAATTGTGTACTGGCGGCAATCTGATGTACTCTCTAAAAATTCGAAGAGTTGATTTTAGCGACAAGACAATGAAAAATCTCTATGGAATTTCAGATTGAAATGCTTTGAAAAAAAATCACTTCAGTCCAAACTCGAGTCTTTTCGACTGCCTTAATGTCACTTCATTTTTTTTACTGAAGTTGCTACTTTAGACCGTCTTTGTCCCTAGTTTCTGTCGGATTAGTTCAATTTTATCTCGAATAAATGGAATTATCAGTCTTTCTAAATACAAGAGTATTTCATGTGTAAAAGGAAAAAAAAATCAACCTTTCTACATTACTACTGGTACATGCATGCATGTACTTATCTTGTCACGACAGTGCAGGGGCCTGACCAAAAAGACACGCTTTCGAGAAAAAAATGGGAAATATGTATTTTTGTTTTTACTTAATGTAGGTTGTCACGAAAGGGACATAACCAAAAGATACGCTTTCGAAAAAAAAATGTGAAGTATGTGTTATGGTTTTTAATGTCTTTCAAGGACACAATGTGAGTGTACCCCGCACCTGCGTCATCCGATGAAAACATCTTATTTGCCCACCAGTTTTCATCGGTTGCTATGTGTTACCATTCAGCACACCAGACTCAAGAACCATTGAGTTCGAAGAATTTGGGTCTGGGAGCCATATAATATACGCAATTGCAAAAAAAACCCGGATGTCTACGCTTACCTACATGTATATAAAATAAAGAAATATCTTGAAGAGAAATTTGAGCGCTGGATGTTTCTCGCGCCTTCTCCTCAGTCACATGCACATCGCATGAAGATGACGAAATCGTTGGCTACGTGAGAATGCACGTACGTACGTGTGTCTCGGCACTGACAGAGAATACCAAGATCGTCCACAGGTCAGTACAAACAACGGCTGTTGGAGATGTGGATGATCAGTTTGATCACATACAGCAAACAGTCGTCGTCTGCGGAATTGTGTTGTCCAATCAGCATCCACTATTGGTTCACGCCCCCGACTGGCCTCCAAAAAAATTGCATAACAATTTTGACGGCGCAACGCGACGATGGCGTGACATGACAGGGCGCTTTCAAGTTGCAGGTTAAATTTCCAACTAAATGTTGACGTCACGCAAAAAAAAAACCCACCAGTTTATAAAGGCAGGGCTATCTTGTCAAAATTCATTTTCGAGCTGCGTCAGTGCACGGCCACTTCCAAAATTCCAAGTCCGGTGAAGTACATAGGCCCAGCTTCATCTAGATAGTTTTCAGGATCGGAACTGACGCGTCACGTTTCGAGTTTTGTGGTGGTAAGTCCGTATCTTTTCTTTTAGATAATCATCAGTTACCAGCAGAAACAAATCAGTGTAGATGATGACATATTTTATTAATCACAAAATCTCGTAGGAGGTGTGATTTTTTTTTTAATTCAACGAAAACACCGAATGGCTTTAGGCCTATGAATTCGAATTACTCCATATAAGGAATCAGAAGTCGTTTGTTGTATCCGCGTCATACAAAAACCCATTAGTAACATTTCCTGCCATTTTGAACGGTTATTGCATCATGGAGTTTTGCATACTGATCCTTGGACGATCAACAAAAAAAGGGAAAGTTTTGGTAAAAACATCAAATCTAAATTTAAAAACTACCTTTTTTTTTTAAATGTATGCTTGGTTCGAATATGCAACATCAACCAGTAAGTATTGTTTTAAGCTGTGTCTTAGACATAATTGATCCATTAACAATTTTCAAATGACGAGGTTGTTGGAACGCTTTTGAAAATACCTGTTAATTAATTTGTACCTGATTAGTTTAAGATTTAAAATATCTTCCTTTATTGCATAACGGAAGAATAAGAATAAAATAAAAATATCTAAGAAAATAGCATTTGACTTTCGCAGTTCTCTTAACGATGTTATAACTTCAGGCTATGCCTATGTTGAAAACTATTAATGATTGAGAATTTTGATAAGAATGATTTAATATACTGTATTAAGGAAATCGATTTACTAATACTATTGCAACTTGCTGACTAAGAGGACACCATGAATTGAACATAATCTTCTTTGTCACGTCATTGCAGCTATCAAATATAAACCATTACAATTCAAAACATTCCTGAAATGATTTCTGAATACAACTTGAAGCCGACACGGAAGCCGGCGGGCTGATTCCAGATTCGTGTGGAAAAAGGCCGGCCGGCGTACATGATGTACGTGCCACATGTACTAGTACTATACGACAAACCTCGAACGATCTCGAATAATTATTCATAAGCCGAGCCTACACCGAGAGCCAATCAGACACGGAGAATGACACCACACCTTTATTTCATTGACGTCATCGTACCATTGCGTCTCTTTCAGAAAAATCAAGACCGAATTTTCAACTTTAAAACGCCGAATTAGAGAAATGAAAATTCTTAGGTTAGTTTCCAGCGACTTTTGGTCTTTTAAATACGTGGGTTAATTAATGGGAATGTATGTTTTCGCACTTAAAATTACGTTATATGTAAATTAGCGGAAAAATACGGCATGGAAGGTCAAATGTCAACTTTTACTGGTCTGGCAACCGTCTCTTTTCAATGGTGCTACCCACAGGGATTGACGACTCGACCGGGTTTGCAGACTATCAGCTGTACGGTACCGGTACGCATAGCGCTCATTCACACGCAACAACGTCGTCACGAACGACAGGTTATTGCAACACTCTCTCTGCAGTGGAGTGCCAACCGGCAAAATTAAGTGATTGTCTTTCACTAATTTGCGAGACTTTAACAATTCCATTTGTTCATCTTGGATCGCTTGAAACACCAGCATCAAGATGTCGTCAATCCTACGTGGGTTTATAATACGGTGAGTGAATAAAAGTAAACTGAAAGTCAGTCAGTGCCGGTTCAGAATCAGAGGCATTTTCTACTTTCTACAATGTTCTAGACCACCATGACCACAGTTTGTGAGTTTGCATGAATTCAGTTCAGTTCAGGTCAGTATACAAATATGTCCACAGTGTTCACAAATAAATAGGCCTATATTAAAGTATTACGATATTAACATGTTTGACAGAGAAGTAAAACAGGGCCCCTAAATAATACATTATTGTTGATGTATCCTAACGTGGCGCGGCCCCTAACGTGGCGCACTTTGATTTTTCGCCTGTAGCGCCTAGCTAGAGCAAAGTTTTAACTGAAATTTCGCAGAAAGTGAAATTTCATCAAGTTCTAAACACTCCCGTTCATAAAATCGCGAGTTTATTTACCCGTTACAAAGTTAAAAGAAAAAATTATTTTGGCGTGATTTTCCGATTTTATTTTCAAGTGCAAAGTGAACCCTTTGAAAATGCCCCGAAAAATAAGAAAATAATTTTCTGACAAACATCTGGCTGGGTTTGTAAGTAAAGATAATGATGATTTATCAGAATTTATCAAGTTTACAGAAATTCTTAAATGTTAATTTGGAATTTTCCGAGATTTATTCAAGTGCGCCACGTTAGGGAACACTCCGCCAATTTGTGCCCAATTTCCGGACGCAACCGTTTTTGCATTTCGGATTAAATTTTATGAAACCGAAATTGGTCACAGAGGTTAAATAGCAAGCATTAAAAAGGTAAAAGTACCAGTATTTCCCTGCATGAATTTGAGGTTTATCAACAAAGAGGTTTGGCAACACTACACGAGGAAAGTTGGGTAAGCTTCGAAGTGCGCCACGTTAGGGAACACGACTATACATGCTTTTAGTTTTACCTAAAATTAGTAAAAAGGAATGGCAGTGCAGTGGATTTTTCACCAACTGTGAACTGGTCCCCGATCGATTGTTTCAGGATTGTACCGGCACTCCACTGCACATCCGCAGTGGGGTGACTGTTTGGGGGGACTTTACAAATGTTTACCGTGACAAATGTTCGTCTGGTTCCGCACTAACATTGTTCTTGGGTAAAAAATTGCCGTCAAACACATCAGTTTTCACCTCCCCTTGTGACTTGCCCAAGACGAATCCAGGAAGCTCGGGTAATGTGAATATTTGTTTAGGAAAAATGTGTTTTTAGAGCACATTTTGGATGCACACGTCATGCAGAGCTAAGTTGGAGGCACCTGGCCGTAGTGATTGAAGTGTCTGGAAGTCTAGCGGTACGTTACACATGACCAATGCATGAGCCGGCCAATGATATTGCAATACGTCATTATGAATATTTAATTTCTCATGAATATTTAGTGTATTTAATGTTCACTAGTCTTATTTCAATGGATACTTTAAATATGTCCAAAGATTGATTATTGCAACAGCGATCGTGCACGGCCTAGTGGTAAAAGTCTCGTGTTTCAAACATGAGTCCGAGGTTCGAATCTCGATGAAGTGAGTGACTGATTAATACATAGAAAGAAGGAAAGGATGCAACTTTTTGGTGCTTGAAAATTAATTGAAAAATAGTGGTGGCCCAGTACGGAATTTTTTCCATTAAGTATATGGATACATTAGCAATTATTAAACACCAAGTGATATACCAATATTCAATTTTCAAAGCAAATGCTGCATTTATGTAAAGGGTTGCATACAATAAAATACAGAATACATTAAACAATAAAAAACAAGGACAGACCTCGGACAAGATGTAAGCCAGCATGGGAATTTTGTAGAGAATAACATTAACATAACTATCAACAATAACCATTCAATAAGATAGATTTGTAGATAGGCTTATTAAAAGTGGGGAGATGTGTTACTTTTTCTTACTGAATCACCTACATGTAGAGAGTTCCATAACTTGGGTCCCTCATATCTATAGTTTTTAGGTTTGCGTTACGTACAGGCGCTCGCATAGTGGTTCTAAATTCACAGTGGTCTGTTTTCTGATGATAGGGATGGGCAAAAACAAAATTTAGAATGGACTGATTATTCGGCGGAGAACTAATGGGCCGTGAAGAGGGGGGTTCATGGCACACAGGCAGGGGGTTGTGACGGTGGGAATAGATTTCAAGGAGGAACAATCATGGAGCTATAAAAAGGAACAACAATTGAAGGTTAAATTGAACGACTAGTAATAGTAGTGCGAAAATTTGGGACTCTCAATACTGTGTGTGAGAGTCCCAACAGTTAAGGTATTGAAAACATGCAATACAAGAAAATAGACTCGAAACAACCAGTCCAACAACCCTTCAGTACTGCATCAATCAACTGTGCCAAAAGAAACGTGTGGCAAGTTACATGTAGGAACTAGTCTCTATTTACTACACAATTCTCCATAGTCAGCCACGAGACTGATGACAATGAAGAGGTCAGTTGTTTCAAACAGTTGGACCATGGTTGGACATGTACCAGTCTAGTCATTAGCCTCATTTTGAAATCACTTGACTTCCCTCTCATTTGCAAAATATTGAAGAAATGTCTCCTTTAAAAATTGAATTGACACTTCAAACTTGGATGGTGAAATACTGAGGACCTTTTTTTTGCCCAATGAAAATTTTGGAGAAATTTGCTGGTTCAAGAGCGAGTAAAGTTGGCCTGATGAAGACAACTAGGGGCCTACCAGTCATTAAATCTGCAAGACAAGGAGAAATTTAGAGAGACAAGAGAGAACGAATGCATTACTTTGTGACTGTGATGATATGGCACAACGTCTAACATACATGTACATGTATTTTGTGTACTTATTTGTAAGCCGCAGTTTTAGGCATGATATGATACGTTATGGGTTTTATGGTTGTTGAGAGATAAATTTTAATCAAACGCCCTTTGATCTGAATGGTTATCTTAATAGGTGCTTGTATTGAAGGTCATAATTTTCAATATCAGGGTCGCTGTAGTAATACCATGTTTTTATGAGTCCTGTGAATGAAGCCACTGTGACAATTGTACATAACTCCTGTAGAAATGTGCTTCATATATTCTGGTTCAACACGCACTATACTGATATCCTATACTTGAATTTAGGCTGTTTTTGTTCATTCCCCCACTTACAATTCCCGCTGAAGAAAATTGAAAGGCAATGAAATTTGACACAGTGGACCACATTTATGACCATACCACTTTTTTTTTTACTAATGATTGGACTTTGATTCAAGAGTGTGTATCTTAAAAATTGAAGTGGGTGGCATGTTGTGATTCATCCAGGGACGTGTTAGTTCCGAGGGGAGGTGTTAGATATTTGAACAGTTTTGATATGGACCTGTTACACATCTGAAGAAATCTGCATCGATACTACAGTGACATTAGTCATGTTAGTTATCAGAATTATCAGTCATGTTTGCATTCGGCCTAATCATGCCATCAAACTTGGGCCTGTTATCAATGGCGTGTCCCTGTACAGTCCATTGTCGCCAGGGTCTACACATGATAGGGGGGCCGTGACATTTCGCAATGTCAGAAAGTCAATGGAAACTTCACCAAGGCAAAGATAAAATGAACGCTAAAACTTTTCAAGATTAAAGATGGTAAAAAATTTCACAAGTATTAAACAGTTACTTGAAAAGGAAATTAAAGCACACTTAAAGAAAAAGAATAAGTCGGAAAACAATAAGTTTGATTTTTGACAAATCTGACCATGCTTTTTGTCTTACATGGCTATTAATTATGATTATAATGCTACTTTTGAAAAAAACTTGACAACTTAACATTTAACCACAGTACTCAACAGTTTTATGTAAATTTATTTCCACGTCTCAAAATGAAATGTGTTGTAAAGTTTTGTGTAAGAAACCATACAGTTGCACAAAGGAAGATTTATCAAGAACATGCCAAAAATAACAAGAGCGTTCCTCGGCAGTGACCTGTTTAGTAATTTATATGTCCCGGTGATCAGAAAAACTCATGGGTCAGTCCATGGGACAGTCCATGACATTTTTTAAATAATGCTGTTACCCAAAGCATTTTTCCCCTGTAAAATGGAGCTCATTTTCCGTTTAAAAGTGGTGTACAAAGAATTTGTAATTGGGTTCTCAATAGTGGTGGGTTTTGGAGGATGCAGGAAGTAGGAGTAAGGGCTTATCCTAAAATACGGCTTTCTTCTCCAAAATGATACTTTGGCAAGTAAACTTTAAGAAGCATCTCTTTCTCCTCTGTTCTTCCAACAGCCAAGCGTATAATTTCAGTAAAACACTCGCCAGCATGCCGGCGTGCAGTGTCAGCTCCCAGGCGGCCCCTGTGTCCACGATAGTCAACGGCAAACTCAACGACCTGCAGCCCCACGTCCGGGAGTACGTCCTGGAGAAAGCAGAGGTATGCCAGCCGGACAACATCTACATCTGTGACGGCTCGGAAGAAGAGAACAAGGCCCTCTTGGCACAGATGGAAAAGGAAGGCATTATCAAGAGACTCACCAAATATGACAACTGGTGAGTTTGTAGCCGTTTTGTGCAGCTGTGTAAAGTGGAATAAATTTCAAATCCCATATTTGACCAGACTACGTGATAAAGGGCGCAATGACAACAAGATTGAATCAAGTCCAGTCTTTGAAACTTTGGTAACCGAACCCAGAAATTCAGAGCATACCTCACACGCGCGTGCATTAGCTTGAATATAGCGTGTGTCAGGTATGCTCGGAATTTCTTAGGCCTGTTCCGGATGCCAAAAATCTCAAACCTGGATTTGAGTTTGTGGGAAGGCCGAGGTTTACTCCCATTTTGGACTGCCGTTCCAGAATTGCGCTGAAACGAATGATTCCCAAGGACTTAATTCCCAAAACCATTAGGAGTGACTGCGTGTAAAAGATCGACTATTGAATTTATTTGGAATGACTCTACAGTCCCGGCCAAAATGGTTGGGACACTTGGAAATAACCTAAGTCTCCCACGGTCCCCCGCTCCCCCGGTCAATGTTGTTCTCTCCAGCTGATGGAGCACACTCCGCGCAGTGAAAGACAACATTGACAGGGGGTTTGGGGGCCCAGCGAGATTTGGCCAGGATTGTAGGTTGTAGACATGGAAATTTTTACTCAACAGACTAATCTACAGTAAAAGAAATATGCATTCAATATAAACTGCTTTATGGATATCAGAGGACTAAATCTTGTAATTGATTTTTTTTTAAGCTGGTTGGCAAGGACAGACCCCAAAGATGTTGCCCGTGTAGAGAGCAAAACAGTCATCTCAACCCCCTACGAGAGAGATACAGTTCCCATCCCCAAGGAGGGAGTGGAGGGGACGGTAGGGAAGTGGATGGCACCAGGGGACCTCAAGAAGGCCATTGATGAACGCTTCCCCGGATGCATGAAGGGTGAGCAGAAATTCTGGAGAAAAAAATTCTCAGAAATATTTTCCAAAAATTCTTGAAAAAAAAAAAAAAATTAGTATTAGGCCAAAAAAATAAATAATTGGTCTCTGGTCAGACCGAAGTTCCTGAATTGAAGCGGCGGCCCCTTTTTTTTTTTTTTTTTGGTGGTTTTTTTTTTTTCAAGCTTGAATTGTACAGACAAGGTGGGTACTATTTTGCTTTTTGTGTCCTCATTATACATTGGTGTCCTCCATAATTTGCCTTGGTGCCCTTTATCATTTGCCTTGGTGCAATTTTCCCATTCCTTGGTGCTCCTACATGTAGGTACAAAAATTTGAGGAGGTGCGGCAATAGAGGGTGCTGTTGTAGCTTCCGTGTTAATTTCAAGAAAAAAAAAGGTTGACGCGCGTGATTCAAATCGACGCGGGCGCTGACCAGAGACCGAGTATTTCTTTTTTTGGCCTTATTTATTTTCCAATATGTGTCACTGTGGATACAATTTTTGGGAAAGGTCACTTCTAAGACCTACATTGGAATGCCACCTGCCTAGATAGGACACCCCACGAATAAAAAAAAAGGCATGAGTAATGGGCTTTCCCCAAATGTGACGCAATCGACCTTGAATTTTTGAAAGGTCGGTCATGATATCAGGCCACCGTTATCACCAGGATGTGCCCACATGATACCCTACATTCCGTACATTAACCTCAAATATGGCCCATTGTACTGATAACATGCCACAATCGTGCCATAAGCTGATACTGTTGATTTTTCTAGGGGGGGGGGGGGAGGGGAGTAGTCTATGATTGTGGAGTGTTGTGGCCTCGTGGTTAAGGGCACTGGATTCATGGCCTGTGGGTAAAGCTGAGGGTTGTGGGTTCGAGTCCAGCCGGGGTCATGGTGTGTGTGCCCTTGAGCAAGGCACTTTGTCACTCGTTGCTTCTCTCCACCCAAGAGTAAATGGGTACCTGTGAGGGCAGAGATGGTTATTGTGATTGAATAAGCTTGCTTGCACCTAACAGGCAGCATCGAGCTGTATACTCCCCAGGGAGCTGAGATGGTATTTGGAATGTTTAATTGGCCCAGTGATCAGGGGTAATAATAATACTGTAAGCGCTGTGATTTAGTTTGCTAATAAGAGCGTTCTTAAATGCCGATTATTATTATTATGTAAATGGAGGTTTATGTAAATCATGAGCCTCCATTTACATGTAGAAATTCATTTGGATTGGTAAAATTTCTAATGTTGCATCATATGCAGCCTGATGGGCTACCAACGCCTCGTTCAGTTCACGTTAACAGAAAACTGGCAAAACCTCACTACTTGATTACATTTTAGGTGAAAATACATGCACCAAACAAAAGCAATATCTACAGCAGGAACTATGCATCTTTCATTGCATAGAGGTGTGCATCGGAACAGAGTACCCGGGTACCCGACCGTTGATGTCAGGAACCGGTTCCACATTATGGGATCGGGTACCCGTAACCAACTTCACAAATTTCTCAGACAATAAAAGAGAAAGGTTTTGAATGCCATTTGTGTGAATTTTCAAAATGAAAAACCATTATTATGTCGACTATTATCGAAAATCAAAACAGATTTCATGTTTATGTGCATTTGAACGCGCGACAGATGAAACTCTCGAGAAAGTTGCAGTTTACACTGTAAAGCTATAAAGCCCTTCAGACAAATCCGGGAATTGAAGTTTGGGATTGGGTCTCTTTTACGGGTACCCATGTACCCGTGTTTTACTTCAGTAGGGTATCCAGTTCTCGTACTACCGGTAAATGCACACTGATCATTGAGCCAGAAGGAAATCACATTATTTTTTAGAAACTTTCAGTGTATATTTTACACAGGATTTTGCGGCTTACAACAATCATGCACATGTGACTTTTCTTATCTAGCATTAGCCGTGAGTGTAGGAAGGGCACAGGAAGGGCACAGTACAGGTGAATGGAGGGTCATAATTTACATAGAATACCCCCTGTGGCAGAAAAACCAACAGTATGAGCAATTGCGTGATTGTGGCATGTCAGTCAGTACAATGGGCTATATTTGAGGTTAATGTACTGAATGTAGGGCATGGCATAGGCACATCCTGGTGATAACGGTGGCGTGATGTCATGACCGACCTTTCACAAATTCAAGGTCGATTGCTTCACGTTTGAGGAAAGCCCATTACTCATGCATTTTTGTATGCATAGGGTTTCTTTAACAGGTGGTATTCGATTTGCCTGATGACGAAATCATACAGTTAATACTGTTCTCCACGGGAAGGGAGTTCCTGTCTAAAAATGGGAAGAAAAATGGGAAGAAAAATGGGAAGAAAAACATAACTCAGGGGTGTATGGGGTTAAGTTTGCTTGATTCTTGACCACCCCCTTCCTTTTTGGTAAAATGTTTACAATAAAAACAGGATTTTAAAGAAAATCTAGAAAGTTGTCCTATTTATACATAGTTATGAAAATATAAGGTAGGTTACCCTACCTTACCGTATTTTGACAGCCCCTACCCTAATTTATTTTTAAGAAAAATGCGGAAAAAAACTCCGAAAACCATCAATTTCTACCTTTTACCTTTGACTACACGCAGACACCTCCATATGATCCTACGCAAAAAAAATATGCCAAAAAAAAAAAAAAACACCAAAAAAACCCATTTCCCTACCTACCTGCCCTATTTTTAAATGCCATGTAATCGGAAGCAGAACTATATTTTGGCCTAATGGTCAATTTAAATAGCACCATTAAGTAAAATTATGTGTTCCAATTATGGAGCGGGGGAGATTATTTTGTAAAAGTTGGTAAATTTCTTTGTGCCTAGATTGTTGTACAAAAGAGCCATTTCATCAGGAATATTTGTGTAATGAGCAAAAAAACATAAAAAAGGGGAGGGAGACTAGAGATGTTAAAATCTTGTAATACTTCCAACGAAACTGCCGCTATGAATTGTGTGCAATACTTAAACATTGTGTGTTGACATATATCGGTTGGCTTTGATAACGGTAAAAAAAAACCTGCATAATATGAGAGATTGAAGATATTGTTGTTAACTTTAAACTAAAAACCCACAGCAGGTGTTTGACATCCCACAAGTTAAAACTGTAATTCAAAATTGGACAGATGGCGGATTGGGACTCAACTAGTTTTTTACTACCCTGGACTACAAACACGTCTATAAATTTGCTTTCGGTTGGTAACATTTCTGATGCTGCATCATATATACCGGTAGCCTGATGGGCTATAAATGCCTCGCTCAGGTTATGTTGAAAGAATACTGGCAAAATCTCACTACTCGATAAAATTTTATGTTGTAACTTACTAACTGTAACGGTAATGCTGTATATATGATTCTTTGATTTTCAAGATCAGATCTCGCATATTTTTCCAATGTGGCAATTCTGTGGAAAGAGCACAAAAATAATTAACCCCTCCCAAAACTCCCCTCTCCATAAAAACAAAATTATATAAAAAAAACACTAAAACTAAACCTTGAAAATGTGATTCCACCGGAAATACATCCTACAGACCTGTAAAACTATTAAAAAAAAAAAATGTGATTTAAAAAAAAATATGTTTAAAAATAAGGAAAGGAATTTTAAAAAGTGAAGGCAGCCCCATGTAATTTTTTGTTTCAATTTGTTGAATATTACATTTTGCAGAAATACTTTTTTCCATCTGTACCACAGTCACACGACACTGGTATATGATATCATAATTAGATACTGATCATTTGTTTTGTGCATCTAGATCCATGTTATCATTCAGTAAAGTCATGTTTGACTTAACATAATCCCATGTAAATGAGACTATTGCACTGTCCTATCCAAAATAATGCGGAATCGGCTATAATCAATGTTAGATAACTTTTATGGCCTGAATATTTTTTTTATTGCGTGCAACAAATCATTTAAAGCATTGAAAGTTGGTTACCTTGGGGATGGTTGCAGTAATAGTGCTCTATTGTGGAGATGTTTTGCTAAATGCAGGAGATGTTTTGCTAAATATGGGAGGGTCTCCAGAATTGTTCTAGAATTTTAGAACTACTTGTTCTAAAATAGGAACACAAACAAATTCCATGGTGTTTGCAGGCTGTTTCTAGTAAACTGTTTGCATGGAGACAGACCTGGCAACAGAACTGAAACACTTTAGGGCGTCCGGGTAGTCAGGTTTCTTCGGTGTCCGTAGAAATCCACGCAAAACAAGGAGTGGATAAAGCTCAATTAGCAATGTTTACCCATCAATCAATCTTGGAATAGTCGGTAAAAAGGGACACTCGGTAAAGAACCTGTGCCATTGATAGCAAAAGATCCAATTTTGGAAGAAAACGGAGCACAAAAAGTCAAGTTCCCTCAGTTGACAAACTTGACAGTAATCTTTGTATTTTCACTGCTGCTAGAGGGCCATGTGCAAATAGAATGCTAAGTATTATTGTGTCATGTATAGGTTCTGATGTATTATCATGTATAAACTGTACAGTTACCAACTTAAAACCAAATTTTACTGGTCCTCTTTTTACCTCCCTGACTAACTGACTGACTGACTGTCACTTGTGAATTTGAAATATGTCAACCTTGTATTGCCAATGAATGGGCTAAAACCTGCCCACTGTATAGGCAGCATGCACTCCCAGTTAATAACCATTATGAGCCGAATTAAATAGAATTTTGTGTGCTGTGGGACATGCTTTAATAGGCTTGCCTTATCAATTTTTTTTTCAATTAGGGAGGACTATGTACGTGGTACCATACAGCATGGGACCCTACGGATCGCCACTCTCTAAGATTGGCATCGAGCTGACGGACTCCCCCTACGTAGTGGCCAGCATGCGCATCATGACACGCATGGGCAAGAAAGCTCTGGACGTGCTCGGCGACGGAGACTTTGTCAAGTGTCTGCACTCGGTCGGACAACCACTTCCCATGGAGAGTAAGTTTTTTTTGCTGGTTGAAGATGAGGAGCTTGGTGTTCTCTTTGTACGTATCTGACTGACCATAGAGCTAGAACCCAAGGAGTCAGAACTCTTGGGCGATTTACATTTTGACCATTAACATTCCAATCCCTCGGGAATGTCCATAGCTACAGCACTGTGACCGCAAGCCTGGACCATTCATTGCGTGACTGCAAGCGGCCTTTGAACACGATGATCGTCGCCGCCTTTTTAGTTGGTAACCAACAACCTCCCTATATGCTGCATAATAAGTAATGTCACGTCGCTGCTCTTTTTTGAAAAATATATTTTACGATAAAAGAGGTTTTCACAACAGCGCAGTTGTTAGATGTGAGTTATGAATTCAAGTTATCGATGTGCAGTTGTTGGTCCTTGAAAGCGCTATCGGTCCCAGTAATTTGAAGATAAATTGGATTTTTTTCAGATAAGTTATCATGTCTTTTTGGACATTTTAATTGGCAATATAGTATTTATGAAATGTTTTTTTTGTGTGGAAATTTCACAAGTTTTCCTACTAAAGGTATAGAGCATTTTGTTCATCATGAAATGATTGTTTCAGTGATGTTGACCACATTGATATATAGTATCATCCAACTGCGAACAAACACTTCAACATCATTCATTTCTGGCGATGTATGACAACTGCGCCTGCGTATCTACCATGGTACTGTCTACAAAGCAAGGCAAACTCCCCGCATTAGTGAGCGCGGATCTCTATTGTGTAGAGATTAGCGTAGTGAGCAACTGAACAAGCTGGCCGCCAGGTGCTTTCTATTGTTGCTTCGAGCGCGCCGACCATCCTTTTACTTTTGAAGTCTTGGAGTCCTTAGGTCCTAGCTCTATGGACTGACTTACTGACTGATTGTCAGTTGTGATACAGACCGGTTGTTGACTGGTGAAGAGAACCGGGCAGTGCTGTTGTATAGGATTACCCTGTAGGTCCAACGCATGGGCTAAATCCGGCCCATTGTGTAGACTAGACGTATGAAAAGACTGCCAGTATTTATCATCTTTACAGCCACCTTTTAATTTTTTTTCTCCTTTTTTTTGTTGTCTTGCCAGAGCCCCCAGTCAACAACTGGCCCTGCAACCCAGAGAAGACGTTAATATCCCACATCCCAGACAACAGAGAGATCATGTCCTTTGGCAGCGGCTACGGCGGCAACTCTCTCCTGGGCAAGAAGTGCTTTGCCCTCCGCATCGCCTCAAGAATAGCCAAAGACGAGGGCTGGTTGGCCGAACACATGCTGGTGAGTGAGCCCTAGTCTTACTCAGACTAAGAGTTCAGGAGTTGTGCCAAACCGAAGACGGGGTTCCCACATTTTCACAGAAATATCCTGGATTTGAAAAAGCTGTCATGGAAAGTAATAGAGAAGTCATGGAATTTTGTTATTTTACGACGAGTCACGGACCCATACGTGATGATGCGTAATATTTGGCTATGACAGTCTATACCGGTTTGCATTCCAGTGAATTTGTAGTGCTTAGTGGTCTTGTGCCAAACTGGAAGGCTGAAAGGGAGTGGTGTCCCTTGCCACTAGAGCAATAGGCTCCGGAGATACCAACACAGCTTAGGAACTGGTTTTGGAAAACCCTAATTTTGTCCTGGAAAAGTCATTAAAAATCCATGAAATTTAGTTTTTTAATAATTCCATGGGAACCGTGCGAAGAGTATTAAACCTAACCCCCTAAGCCCTCAGGCCAGGATGCAACCTCAATCCTGCAAAGTCCTCCAATTGCCACCAAGAAAAATTTGGATTCAGCCTCAATCCTCCAAAATCATCCGTTATTTCTTGAATTTAGTCTGTGGAAGGTGACCTACTGCCTCAATCCTCCAAAATCCTCTGCCATTTACTGCTATGGTTAGAGCCAGTGCGAATGGCATTTAGAAGCAGTGCAGATGAAATACGAGAAAAACACAGGGCTGATTTATGCATGGCTGAACATACCCAATGCAGGATAAGGCCTACAGGCTTGACATAATGCATCCTCAAGAAAAAAGCGATACATCTTTGCCATTCATCCTCAATCCTCTAAAATCATCTAAAACTGGCAGGAGGATTTTGGAGGATTGAGGAGGGTTAGGGTTAAAAACGACTCAGGTTGACCCAACTAGATTTTGGTTGCATACAGGCCCAAACTTTACGTATGGATGGACTCCAACAGTCAATCTTTTGATTTAGTTGCTACTAATTGTTTTCATTTACAATCTTCTTGTTTTCTTAACCACTTTGCACCAGAATAATAGCCAAAAATTTCGATTTTCGCAAAAGGCAGAAAATTTCCAGCCAACTTCTGACATACAGCCAAACGCCACAAATACTGATTCGCAAGGGTCATTTCAACAGGATTTGTACCATATTTCTTGCCGAAACCTCATATGTTTCAATACTCCGAGGTGTGCACTATAGCGTAAATTGTGGAACAATAGGCCGTGCACAGCAGCCAATTCAAGATCAACACACGGTCCGTCTCTATAGACTTTGTGGACTTTGTGTGTGTACAAAAGGCACGAGGGACGTCACACGGAGGCGAGTTGAGGCATTCTTGACATTTAAACCCTTCAGCCGTGCCTGTGTATAAAAACAGCCAGTGCGTGTTATCACGTCCTGGTTAATGCAAATCTGTGGAACAATTTGGTTCTGCATGAGTCCCTGTGATAGACTGAAAAGGATGTTAATCAGACAATATGCGAAGGTTGAGGGCGATAACCCCCTCATAAGCTTCATCTAACTCTCTAATCCTAAAGTGTTTCGCAGACGGGTTGTAATTTCTAACCTACCAACAACGTCAATAATTTTGAATTAGAAATTTGAACTCATGATTTTCCCTTCACATTTTTAGATCCTCGGACTGACGAATCCCCAAGGGGAGAAGAAGTACATCGCGGCATCGTTCCCCAGCGCCTGCGGCAAGACCAACTTAGCCATGATCATGCCGAGCCTGCCGGGCTGGAAGGCCGAGTGCGTCGGCGACGACATCGCCTGGATGAAGTTCGACAAAGAGGGACGTCTGCGCGCCATCAACCCGGAATACGGCTACTTTGGCGTGGCCCCGGGGACGTCGGATAAGACCAACCCGAATGCGCTGGCGACCTGCCTTAGCAATACGGTGTTTACCAATGTAGCGGAGACCAGTGATGGAGGATTCTACTGGGAGGGGCTTGAGGATCAGACGCCGAAGGTAAAAAAAAAATGGTTCATCTTTAAAGGCATGTAGGACCATTTGCATTTATTTCAAAAGTAACCTAGCAAATTTTTAATCGAAAAGCTAACTCTGATTAAAGATCGTACTGATACTAAACAGCCCATGAAATGATTCCATCTGGCTTTTTGACATTGAGAAGAAATCAAGAAATATAGGTGATTTCCAACGATCAGTCAATTGACTGATTTTTTGACAATGAAGAGTGCTATGGACGATATCGTGACGTGTTTCGTGATGAAAAGGTTGTGCATGGTGTTTCACTGTTTTCTCGAAAAGTGCAATATCCACTGAGCTGAAACTTCAACAGGTTAGGTTTTGAACGTTCTTCTTTGGATTTTGAGTGGTGCTATTATTGGAAGCAAAAAAATGCACGAAGCGCACTGTTTGCGGGGTTTCGAACACACCCCATACCATAAGTCACGCCCACCTTTGGTTTCAGTACATTTCTCAACAGTGCTTGTGACTGAGTTTGACTGACCATGATCATCTGACCAAAAGGTGTGATCTGATTGGTCAATGCACACTGTTTGTCCATTGGCTCAGAGTGTTTCCTTTGATCGTCCTGAATTGATTCTCTGTCATTTTTGCCTTGCATTGCAGGATGTTTCAATCACAACTTGGCTGGGCAAAGGAAACTGGAACAAGTCGACCGGCGTACCAGCCGCCCACCCCAACTCCAGGTTCTGCGCCCCGGCGTCACAGTGCCCCACCCTGGACCCGGCCTGGGAGGACCCAGAGGGCGTGCCCATCGACGCCATCGTGTTTGGCGGGAGGAGACCAAAAGGTAAACAAAAATGGAAAATTGGCGAACGGTTATTAAAAAAAAACGTGGTTAGGAAGAGATAATGCCCATCACAAAGTAAAGGGGACGAACCTGTATTAACAGGAACGGAGTGCCCATCTCTCTTTCTTTAGCGATTGGGACAGACTCGTATGCTGCTGTAGGGGGATCGCCGACTGAGCTATTCATGCTTCCATTCCTAGGGAGTACGTGTATGTTAAGGATAACTAAATAGCGTTATAAAAATTGTGTCATGCCTAACAGCGTTTCCATTTTGACAAGAACTGTTGTTGGTTTGTTTGTCACTCCAGGAGTCCCCCTTGTCTACGAAGCCTTCAACTGGCAACACGGCGTCTTTGTAGCGGCTGCTATGAGGTCAGAGGCCACGGCTGCTGCCGAGCACAAAGGTGAGAAGTCGTAGGGTCCATATATTAATTAATAATGGCGGCCAATTTCGTTGGAGCTACTAAGCACGGAACTATGCTTAGCATAGTAAATATTGGCTCAGTAAAAAGATGGTTACCAGCCAAGCTGTTGTGTGCTCCGTGATACTGTTGACTAGTACTCTGCTGAATTGAGCTCTGCACATATTTTCTGCTTCACAGCTCCATGGACGTTGGCCCTGAAAAGCATAGAATATTGCTTGATCACAGAGGAAAATTTACTTTGTAAAAAACAGGTAACCAGCCGAAACTTTATGTGTCCAAATATTTTTAGTGGCTTGCTCTGTGCCGATTTTGCCAAATATAAAAAAAGTGGCAAGAAGTTTTTTTTTAGACCCCTGGACACTGATGAGTTTATCCTTGGTGAGAAAGTCGATTGAGTTGTCGTGCGGGGCAGTCTAAATCTGTCTGTACACCTGACTCATCCCTGCAATCTTTAACAGGATTTGTAAATGTCTTTTTCTGCTGCAGGCAAAGTTATAATGCACGACCCCTTCGCAATGCGCCCGTTCTTCGGCTACAACGTTGGCCAGTACTTCCAGCACTGGCTGGACTTTGAGCACAAGCCGGACCTCAAGCTGCCCAAGCTCTTCCACGTCAACTGGTTCCGGACCAGCGAGCAGGGCAAATTCCTGTGGCCGGGCTTCGGCGAGAACATCCGGGTCCTGGACTGGATCCTGAAGCGCTGCAACGACGAGGACATTGCCAGGCCGTCGTCGATCGGCTACGTCCCGAAGGAGGGCTCCCTCAACGTCGAGGGCTTGGACAAACCAGTGGACATGGACGCCCTGTTTGACCTCCCGAAAGACTTCTGGATGGAGGAAGTCCAGCAGATCAGGAAATACTTTGACGACCAGTTGAACGTGGACCTGCCAAAGGGCATCGCGTCCGAGTTGGACTCGTTGGAAGAGCGTGTAAAATCCATGTAAAGTCAGACACCAACTCACCCCTCAAAGACCTTAGTGCATAACATCGCTAGAGGCATTGTGCTATATCTGAAATTCGGGATCAACCCCTTGAATTGATTTTATTTTCGAGTGGTGCACATGAAAAGCTCACTCTACAATGAGAGTGCTATAGTCTCAAGGTAAGACTGCTGGAATTACAGTTGAAAGGCTTGTGGTTTGAAACCCGCCTGCCTTGAAGAAGCCAAAGCAAATTTGTCGCTGAACCATTTTTTTCGTGGTTCTCTACCAAGCACCTAATTTTAATTGGTTGGCATGTTGCCAACTCAGCCTTCTTTAGAACCACCTCATGGCTTTAATTTCCAGACAATAGGCATTTTTTTTTGTGCTGCTTTATTCCCCCAGAATTTTAAGTTAACAATCACTCAATTTAAACTTGCAGTATGTATTTATAATGAAAGTTTAGATGAGCACAGAGTAACTTTATTTTTTAATGAAAAAAATCTTTATTCTAATTTTTCTAACACGAACTAACTAATACTTTCACAAGAACTTTGATAAATTCAATCGATTATTGTAGTAGTAGTTTGACTTCTGATATTTAAACGATATCTGTACATTTGTTTTTATTTTATCAGACTTATGGTTTGATTGGTGGTGCAAATAATTTCTTTAGGAATTTTTTGTATGTAAGTAAATGTATCTAGTTGGTATATATAATCAGGATTGTTTCCATCTATTTATGTAAATTACAATTCCTTTATAAGGAATTGCTTACGCGGAGTTGTAATCGAGCGGATCACAATGCTATCACAAGTCTATCATAAGTAAGTCACAAGTCAAATCGTAAGTCCATCATAAGTAAGTCTCAATTCAGATCACAATAGACCTTATGCGTACGATGTCATCAGTCTTATAGAGAGATGCACAACATGACCTCACTGAGGTCAAATCTCGCATTTAAGTTTACTGTGGGAAAACGGCTGTGCATACCCTCTATTGACAGGTGATGAACAATGACAAAGGAATGCCGTTCTCATAGTCCATTTGAATAGCTCGTAATTTGACTTGACGCTGGAATGACTTGTGATTGACTTGTGCTGACTTGTTTCCAACTCTGTCCTGACTATTTGTATTTCTTATTCGAATAAGTAACTGTCGGTCCCCTAATTACCTTGAATCCATCGAATAAATACCTAGGGTGCCTCCCGTTTACCCAAAGATTGCCAATAGTCGCAATCATTTTTTTGGGAAAATTATTATCTTCAATCGTTTCTGGTAATGAAACCAAGGATTCTTCAAAAGCGCCCTAGGCATTGTAGCTCGCAAGCCTGAAGAAACCTGTAGAGAGAAGACAATGAGAAGAAGTTACAGTTTTAGAGTTGGGAGGAAAAGCCCAGAAGAGTATTCTGGGGAAAACCCACGGAATCAGGCAGGGACTGTAAACCCAATCCACATATTGGCCCAGGCGGGATTTGAACCCGGGTCACAGCGGTGGAAGGCAAAAGAAAGTACCGCTTTGCCAACCTGACGAACCTGTGTTCACAGAAACAGAGTGGCTATCTTTCTTTCGAAGCGATTTGGCCAAACTCAAGTTCATGAAATGCTGCTGTGGGGGATCGCCACACCTCCACAGCGAGTCTGTTGTTAGCCATTAAACACCTGGGTTCAGAGGAGTAATTGAGGTAAAGCGCCTTACTCAAGGGCAACGCATGCATGGCCACGGTGGGGCTCGAACCCACAATCTCACGATCATGAATCCTGTGCTCTACAGCTAAAATAACCAGCGAATGCCTTGTCACAGTTCATTTCAATAACTTGTGACTTGATTGTTGAGGACTTGTGATGGATCTAACTACAACACCGCTTGGTGGTCCCACTTTCATTTGATTTTGGGCTGATTCCCAGCAAAAGCTCTTAGGGTAATATTTTTTTTTAACACCATCTGTAAAAAAAAAAACTGTTTCGCACTGTTTTGAAAACTCTTAGCATCAACTTAAGAAGTAAACGTAACAAAGCTGAACCTGAAATTAATGTCCATTCTCTAAGTGCAGATAATAGGGCATATGCAAATGCAAGACAAAAAATGCAAGTTGGAGTTGAAGTAGTTGTAGTTACCCCTGATTTTCTTTATCTTTTACGTTAATCTCGACTGGTATCGTCTTTGACCCTTTAAACCACACTACGTAGTGTTTGCAGCTGGTGACGACATCATAATAACATGCAGGAACTTGCATTACAACAAAATGTAGCTTTATAATAGGGAGACATTTTCTGGTATTTTGGGGATACATTGGTCATTAATGCTTTAACTACTGAAACGAAATTTATGTCGCAAGTTGCTTAAAACGATTCCTTGGGTCGAGGATAGTATTTAAATAAAAATGTTCAGGAGTTTTTATGAATGGAGTTTTGGAAAGGTTTTTGTTTGTGCACGAGTCTATTGGAATGTCTCCCTAATGCTAGGTTCACACATTCCTGATTTTTTTTAAGCCGAATAGCAATTCTTGAGTAGATCGGGGATGGTTCTTTGCTGCCTCGGGATGATTCTGTTTGTTCGGTGAAAGATATAAGCACCCCGACAAATTTAAACATGTTCAAAATTGTGAATCGGGAACCAATTTCAATTCTTGCTTTATTCTTCCTGTATTCATAACTACTTCTGGACTGTGTGAACCTAGCATAAGGTGCCAATATTTCGATGCAAATTTGACGTCACGAAGCATTCGCTGCGAAATTCGCCGGAGTTGAAATGTGTTCAAGGTTTTCAAATTTGCAGCGCGAAAACTTGCCCCGACCTCACAAATTCGCGTTCGCGTTCGCTTTCGCGCCGAGTATGAACCATCCTTTATTGTATTTTATAAATAGATAAAGTAACTTTTATGGGCAGTTCTATAGTATCTCAGGTGGTCATCAGTGTGTCCATTTCAAATTCATTGAGTGTTCGTTTTAAACTTGTTTAACTGAGATTAGAGTTTGAGCTTCGTTTTTTTGTAGATCGTCCTTTGTATGGGGGCTGCGGGCTGCGTGAAATTTTCTTTGAAGTAGCCCGAAAAAAATACATTCTGTGAATGTGAAAAAAAGTTTTGCAATAAAGTCAGTGTCCATATTCGAAGGTGTTCTTTCAGTTATCCCAAATAATTATGTACATACTTCTATTGAAAATACTTTTATTTAGTGTGAGAGTTGAATTCCAGCCAGTGTTGATTGTGTACTATTTCTTTTTTACATAAATGCTCCAAGTGCACTTATAACAATAGTTGAGTTGAACATGGATCATTTTAATTTTTGTTTTTATAAAGTTTATTTATTTGCTGAGGTTTTTTTTGTTTGTTTTTTATCTTTACTAATAGACTAATGAATATTCTAGTCAGAATTATCGTTATTGGGATATATAAGAAATATTTAAGCATACAAGTTGTCTATGTCAGTATTTTGGTTAAACTGTTTTCAAATAGTAAATATTGCAAAATGAACTGTGCGTCCAGATAGTTCAGTTCTGCAAAGTTACAGATGCAGTAATTTATTTGTCATTTTGCAGAAATGAAATAACTGCCAACATTGCATGATGAGATCTTACCATGGATCTAACAGTACAAAGTAAAAAAAAAAATCATTGTAGTTTTTCCTTCCGTTTCTATATAGTGAAAGTAATTTGAGAAGTCATGTAACTGTTAACGCCCAACAATGACATTGTGTAAACAGAGTACAAGTATTCTGAATTCACAGTGAAATAAACCTGTTGAGTAGTCAAGTGTGTTCAAGTGTTCATATTATTCCTTAATTATACATCATAATAAATATCTTATCAGTTGGATGTAAAAATTATCAATTGATTTAAAAAAACAACCGCAATTAAACATTCATTTGACCAAAAACAATTACTTTGCTTCTTGTTCTTTGAAATTTCAGGATCAGCTGTAAATTCATGTTTTCATTGTACAAATTATTATTGTTCAATCTTTTGAACACGATACACATAATTACCAGTAAGTAGAATCAAAATAAATATTTTGAGTGTAAACACATTTGGAAGTGATTAATCATTATCTAAAAACTACCCCAAAAGGGTAGAAAAATAGTGACAAAAAGGATGGAACTATATAATTTATTTAGTCGTGCGTAGATGGATTAAGTCATTGACAAAGTTGAACTAAAAACGAAAAACCGTAGTGAACAAAGGCATAAATTCCCGGGACCCCCCCCCCCTCAATTATGACATGGAGCTATATAAACACTCCTTTTTATAGCTCCATGATTATGACATGAAAAGGACCGATAAACTGGAGATATACAAGCTTAGCAAGGATAATGCAATGGGTTAATAAAGGTGAAGGAAATGCAAAATATATACGTAAAAGTTGACCTCTTCACGACTTTTGTTCGCTTTATACTGCCCTCCTTGGAAGGAGCTAGTTTTCGCGGAACTCATTATAAAATGTATTAACGTGTTTATGTTGACCAATCACCTTCTTGACTGGCTTCGACGACAGGCACCTGGTGATATGCATGTACGTGCAAATGACCAATCAGCATCGCCACTAGTCTGACACGCCCCCGTTTGACCCCCAGTGATGGTCAACCATTGATGACCTTTGTCTTGGCACGTAGACAACAACTCGATCAGCTGATTCGGGCATTGGGCCAAGGACGTTCACTGTCTGCATATTTTACGTGTAAAAATGTTGGTATACGTGCACGCGGACTATATTCATTCATTGCATTAGCATCGGGCAATTATACGGTTTGGATTTTCTGGAAGCATTGAATTTTTGCACGTAAGTCAAACACTTTCTTGAAAGCATTATTATAGTTTATTTCCTCCCACATAATTACGATTTATACTGGCCTTGATGGAAAACTATAAAACTAATCTTTTTTAGTTTTAATATTTAATTATTTTTTATTTATTTGTTGTATTCCAGCTGTAGTTCTACATACATGTACATCTCAGCTAAAACTTTAAAAGGTGTTTTGCGTAAGGGAATTGTGGAGAAGTTATCATAATAATTACAGGCCAATATTTTTTTTTGGTCGTCGTCTCGTCGACCCTTTGAAAAACTATGAATTGGGCGGGACCAAGAATATAGCTCCTCCCATAAGTGTCAGTTCTGTAATGAAAAAAAAATCAGGCGAAGGCACGAATTATTTTGATCTTAATAGTTCAACTGTAGTTGTGTCATAAACTCACTAATTTTGAGAACCTGGTCTTTGATATTTGCATAAACTTTGAGGAACTAAGCTAAGTTGAACAAAATTTTAATTCTAGGTCTAATAAAGATTTTGGTTTTCTTGAAAAAAATTTGAATGTTTCGTGAGCAAAAGTGCCAGCTGGAGTTATAGGAAAGAATTCCAAAACTAGCTGTTAAAAAACACTTCCTAATTGCATCCATAAAGTCTACTCGCAAATTAGTCGTAAACAAGAAAAAATGTTTTTTAAATTATCTAGAAAAATCGTGACGGTTCCGAAATTCTCAGTAAATAATTTGAAACTACCCGGAAAAGAAGTTGACCTTTGGATGCATTTATTGTTTGAAAACAACACAACCTGTACATTATTACAGTATGCAGTAAACCACCACGCGGTCGTTTTATTTGTGTACCTAAAAACGAGGTCAGTTTGAGTTCACGTAGCGTCTACGGGTTTGTGGAAAAATCTGTACGAGGTCTACGTGCAGCCAATGTGTGCTCATAATTATTATTCATGAGCCGGTCTATCATAAGCCAATCAAAGGGTAGTATTTTGCCCAGCCCCTGGCTTAGCGCATGCGCATGCAGGCAGCCGGGCCAACCTGTGGTATAAAAGCAATCCGTCTGCTGGGGTCGCCACTGTTATTTGGGCATATCGTCCAGGTATTTGCACTCTTTCTGGGAGGATTTTCTGCTATTCTGGGATCCGTTTTTGATAAACAACGTCGGCAAACGTCTCAAGGTGAGTGTTGTTGGGCTGGTGTAGCTCGTCTTTGTGTATTTCTACTCATTTTATGGTTTTATATTTGACATCCAAATTTTAATAGGCCTAGTTTCATGAGTTTAGTAAATGGCATGTGCCGGGCGGGCGCGGGCGAAACAGTATGCAGTGCTACTGCACTGGCCGTATCCCATTGCTACTGTTCAATATGTTCCGAAATATTTAATATTTTGTAAAAAATGTTTGGTTATATTTTCATGTTTCCATAAGAATGCGGCATTCCCGCCGCCATTTTTGGCACCACAAGCAAATTAATGTGGGTAATCCTTACTTTTAGGACACCTCTATTTTGTACGAGCATTTTCTTTGAAAGTGCTTTCAAAATTATAGCTAACAATTTTTAACATGAGTTTGTCTGAAGAAAAAAGACTTCTTTAGCCTGCAAAAGTCACTTTGGTACTGGACAGTCATCTGCAAAAGTCAGTGGTGAACAGAACTCGTACAAAATAGAGGTGTCCTAAAAGTAAGGATTACCCTAATGTGACCTCAATTTAATGTGACCAGTCGTTGTGAATATATTTGATTAAAAAAGAATGCATTTGGAACTAGATCCTTTATCATTTTTGGAACAAATTAGCCTAAAAAGTGAAAACCCCGGCACACTGTGTGATGTGCACAAATAACTGAACACCGTTATGTTTATCGTTGCCGTAGCTTAGTGCTACTTTTCACACTTGTTAAGTTGTTGTACTATAGTATAACGGTTATTCCTGTTGTTTTGAAACACCCAACAAAGTTAGAACTTTGGTTTGGTTCGTCCATGGACCATTCCTTCCTCCATGGTACATTTGCACAAATTAAGTTTTGACTTCTTTTTTCCCCCCAAAAGGGCAAACGTTAGCTTGAAATATTCCAGCTAACTGCTCATGACATAGGGAGATTTGCCGCGCCAGTCTCCCCATGTCATGAGCCTACTGCGCTGGATATTTCAAGCTATGTCAAAGTTATATTTCTTTGTCATTTTTTCCAAAAAAGTTAAGTTTAATTTTGTTTTATAGTTAGAACATTTAGTCTGAGTATCACCCGTTATCCTCAGAGCCCAGTCTCCTGTATATTAAACGTCTGATATCTAAGGCAAAGCATGCAGATTTATGCGATCCCGCACCTCAGCCAATCAGAGTCGACTTTACTACATTGTGACGTCATTTCATTCCTAAATCAGGACTAAATATTTGATTGGTCAATTCGAATGCAGTGTTTTGGGCATTGGCCGGGCATCTATAAAACCTAGACAAGCTTGGCGTGCACGTATCGCGTAACATAATACATAGCACGTGACCACAGCCTTTGTTTGCTGTGCCTCAAATTAATGGTGGCATCCACAGAAATAATCCACCTTGTCCTAGTTACAAGTTTCGTTTTTTTTACAATTGATATCTAATAAGATACCTGTATGCAACTTCTCCAAGAGTTAACACTGTAATTTTGACCTTGTGATCTTTGAACCTGAGAATGACCTTTAAGCTAAAAAAATCCTGAGTGGCACCCATCGCATTTTCTTCCTCAACCCAGTACTAGTAGAACTGAGGGATCTATATGATTTCCCGCAAGAAACGAAAATGCCCTTCGGTCTAAAATTTCATCATTTGTGGATGATTTGTCTCCATCATGCCTTCCTGAATGAATAAAAGGGAAGAATGTACATGTAGTATTCAAATGGCTCTAGTTTCTGCAAATTTGGAGTGAAAGCTGTTAATAAAGATACTATTTAAACCCTACCATGCTCCAATGTAGGACAACAGTGCACAGGTCTTGACAAAGCCTGCTATATTTGGTTTCTGCACAGTAGGATACAGTTACAGTTCCAGAAAAGAAAGGTCTCTAAGTTAAGGTCAATATTTGGTTTTAAGGGCTAGTGCCACAAACATTTTTCACGTGCCCTTTTGTCCCACTATCAGTATCATGTCCAGATTTCATCATTTTTATGCTAATTTGAATAATTTGCAATCAAAAAGGTTTAGTTAGGCCAAAAAAAAAGTCTCCGGTTTCTGGCATGGAGCTTGCCCAAAAAGTGGTGCGGCGACGCGGCTTTTTTTTTTTTTTTTACCTGATTTGTTTGCTTCAAATGTCGGCTGATGACTGCAAATGGCATGAATGGTGCCCGACTAAACTTAGTGCAAATATATATGGGAGTCCAGAGAGGCCACATCAAGCTTATTCTGGACCATAACCCAATCTAAAAACACGTTAAAATTGTGCAGCAGCAGGATTCCAGTCAAACCAGTGAGTTTGGAGGTTTTGAGACATCATCTTTCATTGCAAAAAAAAACTTTTTCATTTTGCCGACGTGCATGGCTACGGCGACGCGCGCACATACCAGAAACCGGAGACTTTTTTTTTTTGGCCTTAGCTTTGCAGAAATGTCAGTGTAATACATGTACTTGACCACAAAAAAGGGGCAGATTAATTCCCCCCCCCATTTTTTTTTTGGGGGGGGGTGAAGTTTCTGTATTGATTTAGTGCATGATGTGCACTGAGAATGAATATTTAAAATTTGTAATTTGTACAGGATATCCCTGAATGTATCCAGTTACTGTCTAAAGTGACATCACAGCACAGCCCCTCAGGTTACAGGAAATTAAGCCCAAAAGGGCATCCTATTTTTTTCCACGTTGTTCAGACTTCTGATTTTTTTTAAATTAGCAGACTTTGCAAAATGCATTTCCTGAATGTTTGGAACCAGTCAGTAGGCCTATACTTTAGGGATTTTCTAGAGTGCTAGTGATACTCGAGTAGTCCACATTATTTTATTATCAAACATCAACTTAAACCCTCATAGGTCCTTCCAAATCCACCAGGAGAATTGGAGGCTGTTTCAGGATTTTTTTTTGGGGGGGGGGGATGGAGACATTATCACTTCACATCCATTAGGCTTAATGCTCCTTGAAAGGTCAAGTGTAAAGGAATGTGCCATTAGTGGAGAATTATGGAGAATTCAAAAAGGTTTCATGCAAAGGGAGTTAAGGTTTAATTTAATGGTTTAATAACATCACCGTCAGCGCTTCTTTGATAAAGCTGCTTTCATAATTCAAACACATTTTTGTAAAGTGCCGTTCTTTTCCTTCAGAAATATGAATATTTGATTGTAATTTCAAATGATTGAATTTATTGCCCAGACTGTATAGATTAACCCAGGTTGCCTTTTAGTGTTATTTTTTTTTCCAGACATGTCAATGACTTGGAGTACATTATGTTTCTTTCAACAGAGAATTAAATTGATATTCCTTAGAAGCTCATCTCTGTTAAAATCTCCCATGCAAATATATTGAAGTATTTTGCAAGGGATTAATTTACGCTTTTAATGCTAGGAGAAATAATCCTAAAGTTCCATATTGTGTAAATAGCCTTGCTACATATTGACCAATCTATTGAATATAAAAACGTGGTCTGTACCGTTGATGTTCTAGCCTAGTTGAGATTTTTAAATGAATTTCTGAATATCGTATCAAATTTGAGAAATGGCTGAGAATCGTTTGTTTTTTTGATGCAAGTAAACATAATAAATAAGTGTTGATAGTAATATTAAAGGAAAAAAACAACTTGTAATGGCACATCCAAGCATGGCAACAAATAGACATTGTCATTCTACTCTAAAAATGGAATAAAATTAGTGCTCAGGTCTTTAGACTACATATTTTAGCAGGCCAAAGAAATATTCTTCTGAAGACAATTAAAGGAAAGATACAACATTTGCAAACAACAAAAAACAAAATTATCACGAAATACCTTACTGGATTGTTAGGGAATGACAGTCTAAAGTATCCTGTAAAGTTGTGGCTCCTGGTGTGCTGACATTTTCAAGAAAAATTGTGTTTTTCCAACGCTGGTCGGCCGACCAGCATTGGAGAAAACTGTGTTTTTTTTCTCAAAAAGTGCTCCTAATTTTTCATATTTAGTTCATCTGCATTTTCTTTGCAATTGATTACATACCTGTGAAGAGGTACAAGCCTGCCAGACTGATTCTCTGATTTTACATTCCCCAAAGTCTATAAATTGCTCCGTTTCAACTTAAGTGGGGTCTGGGAACAAGACTTCAAGAATATGATTGGTTTTCTTGGTTTTTCCAGCGTCTACGAACCCAAAACGTGAAAAACGTCAGTGTAACAATATTTGCTATAACATACTAATCCTCCAAATCCATTTATTTCTGAGAATTGCAGCAAAAGCAAATGTTGTACCTTCCCTTTAACATTGAGAAATAATTTAGGGCAATTAAATTATGTTCTCAGTTATGTGTACATGTGTTTTTAGTAATGCCAATTATGGTTATTATAATTTATTTAACAATGTCCGATTTGTAATTGTTCCCAATTGAACTTAAAATATTTGTATCCCCTTGGACCCTAATCAGGTGCATATTTTAAGTGCAATTTCCTCATAGAATACATAGGCTAGAGGAGGATGCAAATCCCCATCAGCAAAAGCCTCCCAATGGAATGATTTGGAGGGTACTCATTTGCTTACAAGAGGGTCACCCTTGGCACTCCCTTGGAATCTATATATTCTCACCCCCTGTAGTGCTTTACATGCATCAATTTTTCTGCTTTTAGTAAAAGGGCACTCCCCTTAGTCCCCTAACAAATTTTTTTTGCAGCATCAGGTTTTTGAGCATTGAACTTGAAGTTATGTTGGTAATTCTGCTGGTTATGGGTTGAAGTCCAGCCCGAGGGGTTGTGATGTGTCCTTGGACAAGACAATTTGCTTTCATTGCTTCTCCCCACCCAGGAGTAAATGGGTACCTGTGAGGGCAGAGATGGTTAATCTGAAATGGCAGCATACTCCCCAAGCAGCTTACATGTAGATGGTCTTGTGAGTGTATTACGCGCTCCGTGCGGGAACAAGAGAGGGCGCTATTTTTACCACTTTTGAGAGCCCCATGGACGGAACACACTGCGAGTGCGTACTTGTCCGTTCGTGTATGGCAATGTATGGCAATTGTCGGCAATGCGTTCGAATGCCACTCCTCTAGAGTGGCCTCCCCCAACTCTCCCATTCTTACCGTTGAGGGGGCAATAATGTGCAGTTGTCCACCGAGCCAATGAGAAGGGGTAATGAAGACGTAGAACCTTGGGCACCAGTATTGTTAGATACGTGCCTTTATAAATATATGCAAGGTTAATTCACAATTGATTACCAAATTCTTATTTCTTCTCTCTTTGGTTTGTTTTCCCTCATGTCAGTAATATGGCAAGCCTTCCCAAAGTAGTCCATGGCAACCTGGATGATCTGCCGCGCAAGGTCAAGGAGTATGTCCTGGAGAAGGCCCAGCTGTGCCAGCCGGCCTACATCCACATCTGCGATGGATCTAAAGAGGAGAATGTAGCTATGCTGACCGGGATGGTGGAGCAAGGAGTTCTCAAGAAACTCACCAAATACGACAACAAGTGAGTTTTGGCTTCTGACTCTGAGTTTTAGTCGGAAATTTTAATTTAAAAACGGCCAATCTCAGTTTTCAACCTGAAGTCAAAATCAACCTTACATATTAGAATAAATGCGACCAATAAGATAAATTGTAAAAGTAAGAGTTTAAGATAAGATTGATTTTTAATAAATTGAGATTAAGAGTCCAGAGCGATGCATTGTGTAGGAAGAAACTGGATGAATACTTTCTAGAATTTGCTTTGGGTGCAATGAATGTATATGGATGAAAAGTTTAAGTGCGCCCAAAGGATGGTTAGCAAGGAGGAACAACCAGAAAAAGACCTCGGAAGGCTACAGTTTTGTGAAACTGCCCCAGTCAGTCTTTAACACATTTCCATCAGCATTGTGAGCACTCAGTTCCATAAAAAAAATTTCCCTGGTAATTTGGAATTGTTGTTTTTTCCTCGGCAGCCATTTGGTGAGGACAGACCCCAAGGATGTCGCCCGTGTGGAGAGCAAGACGGTCATCTCGACTCCCAAGAAGAGGGACACCATCCCCACCCCCAAAGAAGGGGTAGAGGGGAAAGTGGGCCGCTGGATGTCACCGGAAGACCTGCAGAAGGCGCTGGGGGAACGCTTCCCCGGATGCATGAAGGGTGAGCTGCTTGTGTGGTTCAGGGTGGTGGGGGTAAGGGGTGGGGAGGGGAAGGGTAGTGTTTGTTTTAGTCCAATCCAGGACAACTTCAGATGTGTATTTATCAGAATCAGGGGGTGAATAATATCAAAAGGAGAGCCTTTTGTTACAGTTTATTTGAATCGCTTGTGCTTGGACCTGAGACTGGATGACTTAATTGTGATGGACTTGTCAGGACTTGTGATTAACTTGTCTACAACAACTGAGGAGGGGCCAGTAAGGACTTTTTATAAATGTGATGCAATCAAGCTAAATGAGTCATTTGTCAGGAACTTTCATTTGGAGATTCAGGCCAAAATAAGGCCACTTCATCACATCACTTCATCACATCACTTTATCACATCTTTTGGTGTTCCGACTTCCATAATTTTTGAACTAAAGATGGTACCAACATGCGGTTTTCACAGCAGTAAAGCTGAGATTGTGCTCTTTTCAAATCTGTAAAAAAGAAAGAAAGATTGACCAGGGTCGACAAATGACTCATTTAGCTTGATCGCATCACAAATGCTCTGTACGGGAACCTTGCAGAGTGACATTTGTGACCTGTCTGACATCACAAAATGAGCTTTAAGTCAGACTTTTTAAGAATTGAGGTATTTATATATCTGGATTCTGCAGTGCAAGAGCTTTCCAATGGTATACAACATTTAGGGGTACTGAGTTCAATAGATTGTAACGTTTGGCATATTGTGAGGTATGTCCTAGGCTGAGTAAAGACCTTATGTCTACTCTAAAATATCCAAGGATGAACGTTAGTGTGCACACTGAATATCACGTTGTAAAGTGAACAAATCTAATTTACTTATAATCATGTTTTTCATGGTCAAACTTTTGTCTGAAAACAGACCTTTTGAATCTGAGAGAAAAACATTATTGATATAGGAAGAAATTCATCTTTCGGACTTTTTCCAATATTTGGACCTTGATTGAAATCGACAATGTCATCTCTATATTATTCACCCAGTCCACAACTGCAAACATTCCTCCCTACTCCCACCCTACCCCATATCAATTGTTTTCCTAGGATTGGGTAAAAATTAAGCAAGTTGTAAAGCAATTTTAAAGAAACCTTTGATTTTTTTTTTTTTTAATTTCAAGAAAAATAGGACCTCTTTCAAACCATGTACAAGTATTGCAGCCCCTGAAAAAATATTTTGCAAACTTAGAACTACGATACTAAGACCTGTATTCAAGACTTGAATACAATTACAAGATCCGTTTGTCTCATCATTATGTTTTGTGACCCCCATCTTTTGAAGGGCGCACCATGTACGTGGTTCCGTTCAGCATGGGGCCCTTTGGATCTCCCCTCTCCAAGATCGGCATTGAGCTTACCGACTCTGCGTACGTGACGGCCAGCATGCGCATCATGACGCGCATGGGCAAGCGAGCTCTGGACGTGCTCGGCGACGGAGACTTTGTCAAGTGTCTGCACTCGGTCGGCCAGCCACTGCCCATGGCGAGTGAGTGTCTTCAAGAGTTATCCCTGGCATTTCTTTAAATTTCTGTTTTCAAGTAGGTCATGCTATAAATTTAGGGTCCAAAGTGTGATATTTTTCTCCTGTCCCGGTGACCTCTGAATATTGTAATTTATCAGTATCATTAATGACTTTGATAATATTTTTTGTATTTGTTGGGTAGGTAGTTTGCTATTCATAATCACTCTTGGAGGAATACTGCAATAAGGAGTGCACCCAGAATTATGAAATTGTACATGTCAGATGTAACAGAGACAGGACAAAAATTGAACCCAATTGCTCACAACAACATTTTTGGACACTGTGACAAAGTTCCTTGCTTTAATCAATTTCACTTCTGTTTTATGTAAGCTGTGCAACATCCTGCATGTTGTGAAAAAAAGGCTGATGTAGTTTGGGAATTGGAATCATTTTGCCCTTGAGCCTTTAACTGAGGTCTTGCCATGATGACTGATAGCCAGGCAAATGATTTCAATCCCAATCGCAGCCCTTTATCTTTTCCTTTCACTTTCCTTTCATCCGTCCAAGAAATATTAACATGAAATTCAAGATGATTCATTTGGTGGATTTGATTTCACCAGCCCCACCACTCAACAACTGGCCCTGCAACCCAGAGAAGACCATCATCTCCCACGTCCCAGCCAACCGAGAGATCTTGTCCTTCGGCAGCGGTTACGGCGGCAACTCTCTCCTGGGCAAGAAGTGCTTTGCCCTCCGCATCGCTTCTAGTATCGCAAGGGACGAGGGCTGGCTGGCCGAACACATGCTGGTAAGTCAATAAGTTTAATCCGTGAGAGAATATATTACTACAGAGAATATATTCCTACTGTTTACATTCATCTCATATCCTCGCATTGCTTTTATTTACATGAATTCTGGCCAATCTGGGCCAAATTTCACGGCTTTGCCTTAATGCTTATTCTGTGCTAACAGCGTAAGCAGAAACTTTCTGTGCTAACCCCTTGAAAGCACAAATTGCTTTCTAAACTCTGAAATATGCTAACAGTAAACACATAATTTGCTATAGTAACCAGAGTTATGAAATTGGGCCGAGGTTCCTAAATCTTAAGCAGAACTGTACCCCTGCCTGATTCGATGGGTTTTCTCCGTGACAATTCCTGGGTTTTCTTTCCTCCTCTTGAGACAATGCATGAGCACTCAAGTTTGATTAAGATACATGCTTGACTGCACCATGTGAAATTTGGGTTTGATATTTGTGAGGCATCCTGGCAAAATCAGACGGAGCTAGGCAGAGGTTGAAATGAGGGTTCGTGGGTATTAGGAAAGAGAGTAACATTTTCCATACAATACTGTTTGTTGCACTTGAGTTGGCCATGGCAATGACAAATTTATGGCTGTTTAAATTCTGATTAGTCAGAAAAGCAAAATACTGAGAAAAAGGCTTTTTTAAAGGTTTTGACTGTTTTGTAGTTGTGAAATTGAAATCAGCCAGTTTATTTTTCCTGAAAACACTTTTGTTCCAAGATACTTATACTATTTCGTTTTAAATATGTGTAGTAGACATATCAAAGATTACAAATCTGAAAAGTCAAAAAAATCACCCCCCCCCCATTCAGTTTTTTTTCTTTCTTCACTTTTCTCCACCAAGGCCTGTGCCCAGTTCCGTCTCATTTTGCCAGAATGCCTTACATTCTAACATTGATTTCATTTGGCTATTTCCTCTACATTTTCCAGATCCTTCGTCTGACCAATCCCCAAGGAGAGCAGAAGTACATCACCGGGGCTTTCCCCAGCGCCTGCGGCAAGACCAACCTGGCCATGATCACCCCAAGCCTGCCGGGCTGGAAGGCGGACTGCGTTGGTGACGACATCGCCTGGATGAAGTTTGACAAGGACGGGCGTCTGCGCGCCATCAACCCAGAGTATGGCTTCTTCGGCGTGGCGCCGGGGACTTCCGACAAGACCAACCCAAAAGCAATGCACACCTTCCAGAGTAACACTCTGTTTACCAACGTCGCCGAAACCAGCGAGGGCGCTTTCTACTGGGAGGGACTGGAGGACCAGACTACAAAGGTAAACAAACAAACAAACAAACAAACAAGCAAGACTAGACTTGCCTTGACTTGCATATCATAGACCTTTGCTGACAGCAAAGGTCTATTCCATAGACTACTTTTTACTGCTGCCGTGATACAAAAATTATTTGTTCACGAGGACAACATTAACCCTAACCTTCCCAAATCCTCCAAAATCCTCTTTGTAAAATAGGGGATTTTGCAGGATTGAGGCTATATGGCAAAAGGTGCGGCTGATTTCGGAGGATGCGCTGTGTCAAGGTCTTAGGATGAACCTTGTGTTGTTTATGCTCAGTCGTGCATAAATAAAGGCCTATATTTTACTTGAAATCCTACGCACTGCTCCAGGATGTCACTGGCCGTGCCTCAACATATTGACAGTGATTGCCGGAGGATTTTGCAGGATTGAGGCTGTGGTCACCCCTCCAAGGACCACATTCATTAAATAACGGAGGATTTTGGAGGATTGAGGCTGTATATGCTATTTTTACATGGAGGCAGTTGGAGGATTTTGCAGGATTGAGGCTACATCCCGGCAAAAATGCCTCTGGGGAGTTAGGGTTAAGAGGTTGCTTTGGTCGCTGACAGCAGTGGTCAGAATCTATGAATGTAATAATTCAACCAATATGATGTTTGATATTCATTTTTCTCAGGGTGTATCCATCACCACTTGGAAGAACAAAGAGAACTGGTCCAAGGCCGATGGCGTGACAGCCGCCCATCCCAACGCGCGATTCTGCGCCCCGGCGTCGCAGTGCCCGACCCTTGACCCCGCCTGGGAGTCCCCAGAAGGCGTGCCCATCGACGCCATCTTGTTCGGTGGACGCAGGCCAGAGGGTGAGCGATCTCTATATTAAATATTTGTTTTAATATTGTGTTCCACGTGCTATTTTCGAGTTTCATATAAAAACAGATTCCTTCTCTATAAATTGCTATTTTTCTTGCAATACAAAAGTTATTTATTTTTGAATAGGACATCAACCCATGTTTAGTTATTGAATTCTTACTTTACAATTAAATTACAATTTCAATTCATTGGCTGCCAGACAATAATTCCATTATCGCGAGGAAGGCTGGTCCCCGCCCCACAATCAGTATCGATAATGTATGGACCGGGAGCCGGTCTGCTCTCAAAGCGATTTTTAGGTTAGAATAAAACGTACAAATTCAAAATTTATTTGTAGAAAAAAAAAGAAGTATAAGGCCCCCCAAAAAAAGTCTCCGGTTTCTGGTATGGAGCTTGCCCAAAAAGTGGTGCGGCGACGCGGCTTTTTTGCTTCAAATGTAGGCTGATGACTGCAAATGGTGCCGGACTAAAGGCTGATGACTGCAAATGGTACCCGACTAAACTTAGTTCAAATATATGGGAGTCCAGAGAGGCCACATAAAGCTTATTCTCGATCATAACCCCATCTAAAAACACGTTAAAATTGTGCAGCAGCAGGATTCCAGTCAAACCAGTGAGTTTGGCGGTTTTTAGACATCATCTTGCATTGAAAAAAAACCTTATTCATTTTGCCGACGCGCATGGCTACGGCGACGCGCGCGCATACCAGAAACCGGAGACTTTTTTTTTTGGCCTAATTTGTTAGGCCAAAAAAAAAAAGTCGCCGGTTTCTGGTATGCGCACGTTTCGCCGTAGCCATGCGCATCTGCAAAATGAAAAAGTTTTTTTTTCAATGAAAGATGTAGTCTCAAAACCGCCAAACTCACTGGTTTGACTGGAATCCTGCTGCTGCACAATTTTAACGTGTTTTTAGATGGCGTTATGATCGAGAATAAGCTTTATGTGGCCTCTCTGGTCTCCCATAATATTTGCACTAAGTTTAGTCGGGCACCATTTGCAGTCATCAGCCGACATTTGAAGCAAAAAAAACAGGTAAAAAAAAAAAAAAAAGCCGCGTCGCCGCACCACATTTTAGGCAAGCTCCATACCAGAAACCGGAGACTTTTTTTTTGGCCTTAAAAAGCGTGTGTAGGGGAACACAACTTGAAGTGCAAGTTGTGTAAAGAAAAAAAAGGCAGCTTTAATTGTGTCATTTTTTTTGTTACTTAGGAGTACCTCTTGTGTACGAGACTTTCAGTTGGCAACATGGCGTCTTTGTTGCGGCTACAATGAAATCAGAGTCCACTGCAGCCGCTGAGCACAAAGGTGAGAGGTCACAGGGGTCAATATGTAAATGAGCCTAAAGATTTAAAACAATACCTTGGACAACATGTAAATAGGTAACAGACACACTCAATACATATACGCCATTGACCTAAGCAAGTCATAAACTTAAATGTACAAACGGTTTATGGTAATTTTGTTTTCAATTCGACAAATCTCTATCAGGCAAGAAGGTGATGCACGACCCCTTCGCCATGCGCCCCTTCTTCGGCTACAACATCGGCGACTACATCCAGCACTGGCTGAACTTCAAGGACAAGCCGGGCCTCAAGCTGCCCAAGATCTTCCACGTCAACTGGTTCCGCGTCGACGACCACGGTGAGTTCCTCTGGCCTGGGTTCGGTGAGAATGTCCGGGTCCTGGACTGGATCATGAAGCGCTGCAACGGCGACGACGTGGCCGACAAGACACCCGTCGGGTACGTCCCCAAGAAGGGCACCATCGACACCAGCGGGTTTGAGAAGCCGGTGGACATGGACGCGCTGTTGCACCTCCCCAAGGAGTTCTGGCTGAACGAGGTGGAGGAGAACCGCAAGTACTTCGAAGAGCAGATCGGCACGGACCTACCTCAGGGCCTGAAAGATGAGCTACACGCCCTGGAAGAACGTGTCAAGGCCATGTAAGAAGCAAAGGTTGTCTTTATAAACAAGGGCTTGGCCTTCCTGACGTAGTATTGAGCTCGGAACTTTCTGAAATCCTGTTACAAGAACATCCAAAGGCAGGAATCAAGTTACATAAGTTGTGCTCTAACAGTGGTGACCACTAGATTATAGAGGTCCATCAGGTTATAGGCTAACTTTTTGGTTGAGCAGGCTTGATAGAAATACTGAGCCTAGAGTACTAATACTACGTTGAGAAAGAGCCGACTCCTGTTTATAAACTTGACATCGGCCAAACTGCCAAAATCTTCTGCTGAAGATCTTACGGTTGCAGTCAATATATTATGCTTAGCGTGAAACTGTAGGCTTAAACCTAATTGAATTTCCTGAAATAAAAAGTGTTACTAAGAGTATTAACAATGTTTATTTAGATATTAAAGAATATAGAGTTTTAAACATGAAATTTGCTGCTGTTCGACAGCCAAGTTTTATTATTCCTCAAAGGAATATTTCATATCAACTCCTGCCACAAAATAAGTTGGCATTAACAAAAAAAATGACAGTATTACAAGTTAATGCAGTAAAGTAAAAACAAAAATAATTTACCAAATAATTTGGACCAACCGGTGTACAAACGGAAGAAACACAATAGCATCAGCAAAATGTACTAGAATTACAAGATGTGTGTTTTGATTTGATTTTCATTGTGAAACAAGTGAACGTGAAAAGGCTGAAAAGTATACAAAGAAAAGTTACTAAAACTTAGTCTCTAATTGCGGTATTTAGGTGATGTTCTTGAAGTGATTGTATTATGCAGCATGACTGAACCTTTAGCGGATACATGTGTACTTCACATTTGATGTAAGCAAAAAGAAAGTAACACAGTGATATATACTTGTATTACAATGTACTAAATGTACTCTTCCTAAGTAGTTGTAAATGCAAACTGTTGAATAACTTTCCTTTTTAACCATTTTTTTTTAAGGGGGTGGAGGAGGGAGGTAAGATTCCAACAACTCATTAATTTGAAACTTGACCAAAACTTCTACCTCCATTTTATAACTTGTGAACACATGATATCATGTTTGGGCCATAAACAGCCAAAACAATGTGTATACACCTGTGGTATGACGGGAGTGCAGCATCATAACTTTAGTTGTGTTTTATATCGCATTCTTGAAATTACTTTACAAACGGATTGATAACTTTGTACTACTTTAGGAAATTGGCTGAGTTTTTGAAGTTGTGCTATCGAACTTTCGCCACTGTTCTTTGCAACCACCAAACGGAAGAGAGAAAGATTGTTTTAATCATTTTAAAGGGAAGATACAACATTTGCAAACATCAAAAAAACGAAATGATCAAATTGTCACAAAATTCCTTACTGGATTGTTAGGGAATGACTGTCTAAAGCATCCTGTAAATTCATGGCTCCTGGTGTGCTGACATTTTCAAGAAAAATTGTATTTTGCCAACGGTGGTCGGCCGACCAGCGTTGGCGAAAACTGGCTTTTAAAGATAACGAATAATATTAAGTTTAACTTAAGGGTAGGCAACTGTTTCTAAGCTATTCGCACAAATTGTAACATAAGTCCTGAGGATCACTATTCTATTTTAGTACATTGTCTTATTTTTCCACAACCTAATCAAGTTTTGTTGAGTAGATATAGTCGATGTGATATAAAAACTATATCTGGTGTCAAGTGAAGTGACCTACCGCGAGTATTTTCGTGCCAACTGAGTGGTAGTTATAACATGTATAATGTGAAGTACCCTCGATGCTGTGCACAAAACAGATAACGCAATAAATGTGTGGTTGATTAGCTAACAGCAACAGGGTGAATATGTATATCTGTAAAACTTAATTGTGTATTTTTCTCCTCTAGATCTTTCCAAGACCTTTTTTACCCTTTGCTTTGATATATGCATTGAAGTAATCGTTTGAAAGCAAATAAAACGCAGATGTGATTGCATAGAAGTGGAAACTTGCGCGTCCATTCTCATAATTCAGGCAGGTAAAACGTTTGAAAACACTATCGAATTTAACTCCTTAGAACCAGCACTGCACTGTATTACATTGTATTCATTCCCCAATGAATCCAAAAAGATCCAGTATTGGGGCGGATTTGGGCAGTACAGGGAGTCACAGGCACTGTGGTTTGGGCGATGAGGAGTAAACGGGTTATACAAAAGGTATTTTTTGAGTGTGCTACCAAAAAATGTCAACATTTACAAATATGGTAATTTCTTTATAGGCATCCTGGAAAGAGTCGCCCAAATTGAAAAAAAAATCCAGTTGTGCAAATGCTGTGTCCCTGGCCTGTTGGAAGTATCAACAGCGAACATCCACAAAAATGTAACCAATTCGGGCAATTCACAATGCAGTGCGCCACCAAGAGTTTGCTATGGAGAGTTCATTTTTCCCAGTGCATTGTGGGAGATGGTCGACAAATTCACAGTGCGAGACAATTGAAATTTTTTCTGGTCAGTAGTTTCCTAAGCGTATGATTCGAGGATCTGTTTGCCCTTTTCTTTTCTTCTTATCAATATGGTGTTTTTTTTATAAGGCGGCAGAACGCTATGCTCCGATCTATAACATATTAGCTCAAGTTGTCTACTGGCACTCATTCAAATGGACCATGCTTTGTCGACTGTAAACCTGAAAAATGGACTCTCCATGGCAAACTCTTGGTGGCGCACTGCATTGTGAATCGCCTGAATTAACTAGTCCTAAATGTTTCATTCTTGTCATGCCACAAACGAACCGATGTCGGTGTACTGAACCAACTGGTGGCTGTTTCTCTTCTTGCGTTTCAAAGTCTACAGCAAGTCCAATGATGACTCGTGAGTATCATTTGTTCTAGTAGATTGACGGATCAAACTGGGGTCCATATAACATACTCCATGAGCTGGGAATTCTCCACGGACTACGACCTTCTGACTGAGTGCTTTCTGGTTCCTAAAAATAAAGGGTGAAGAAAAATATGAATTATATTCGTGATCAACATAACAACACCCTCCAGGATATTTTGGCTAGCAACCCTGCCAAACACAGCAACATGCAACACTTGCCTAAGAGACGAGCCTGCCCAGTGTAGCAAGATCCATCCGGTCAAAAATCTCAATGCCAAACTGCCTCGGAGTCTGTGGTCTCTGAACGCAGCAGGATACAACTGTGGCATTGTTCAATGGGACTAGCTCTCATTGTCTCGGAAGTGGCCGTTTATGCACTGGTGTTGGTAGCTGAATGCATCAAAGTACACCAGACTTTTCCGCCTGATGCACTGTGTTTCGTACGTGCTTCGTACGCCAAAAAAATTTGCACAAACTTTTGACAGCCCCCTTGGATGGGACACACAAGCGTGTGCATACTGTACTGGTTCGTGACTTTCTGAATGTGCCAAAGCTATTAGCAACAGTGTCTTCGCGTGAACGTCGGGCGTCGTCGGCGCGTGAAAGCGTTCAAATTTCTCTTTGGATGGTCTCCAAGACTAATCCCCGCCCCAATAATTATGGATACATTCGAAATCCGCAGCGGATGGACCGGGAACCAGTCTAGGTCTCCCCCAACTCTCCTTTTCTGGCCGATGAAGGGGTACTTGTGCACAGAGCCCATAGACTAAATGAGCTACATGTAGCTTGTGTCTCAACACCAATCCAAAGTTAAACTGATTACTTCGTTTCCGACCAAATCATTACGGCAACAAATTCAGGCAAGCTTTTTTGAGAGGAATAATTTCCAAACGTTCATACCTGGATCAATTGCTGCCAGTGGTTCAGATGAGTGACCATCGAAAGGGCGTCTGGAATATTGTCACCTTCCGAGCAGAACAACAGAAGTATGGCAAGTGGAATGTCTTGTGTGCAACTGAAAAACAAAAATAAACAGACCAATCGTTGGGAAAATTTCACATCAATAAATATTCTGTTATTTTTTTCCATTATTATTAAGTTCTGGTAATTAAGCCAAAGATTCTTCCAAAGCGCCCCAGGCACTGTAACTTGCAAGCCTGAAAATGACTTGGAAGAAAGAAGACAGCTTTAGAGGTGGGAGGAAAACCCCAGATGGAAAACCTGGGGGAAAATTTCACGGAATCAGGCAAGGGAGTGTGAACCAAATCGACATGTGGATCTGGGCGGGAATCGAACCCGGGCCAGAACCACTGCACCAACCTGACTCCCCATTAGAAATTGTTTTGAAATTATAAAAGTGGATGACAAACTCACCAATCATCGAAGAATTTCTTTGCGATTCCCCCTCCTGGGATGTAAATGCCCCTCGCGCACTCTGGCCTCCCCTCTTCATTGGCCAGTGGTGGAGCCCACTGGTTCTCTCTCTTTTCTAACCTCTTCCAGTGGAGCTGTTCTGAAAGGACTGTACCAAGTTGGTCGTCGAGCTTGGGGGTGGTCAGATACCTAAACTGACTCCTACAAAAAAATGAGCAATGGCAACTGATTAAACACAGATTTTGATAAGAATTATAAGTAGATAAAATTCTCAAGTGGGATTAGGAAAATGGCAAATCAGAATCTCAGAATTTCCTTTTAGTCGAGTATTGACATTTTTTCCCTCCCAACTCGACACCTTTTCTCCCAAAATTTGAGGTGTTTGAATAATGATGGATGCTCCTCTTGCCTCCGAAGGAATTTCCATGTTGTTTGGAGAAAAGACATTTCTGTTTAGCCAAATTGTATTCAAAGTTAATTTTAATGTAGTTTTTACTAAGTTTTTACTTACATTGAGAAGAACCGTAAAATTGGGCCCAACACCTGGGCCGAATCGCATTGCTTAATTAGTTATCAATTTGAATAAATTTCGACCACATGTCAGAGGTCAGCAGTGAGGGAATACTGCTTAGATAAATTTGTTCTCCGACGCTTTATTTGACAAAATTCATCATTCGGACTACACCACTGGTGTGCAACATATATCGGGACGTCTTTTACGTACCCCGTCAACTGCGCATCTGTTCTCTCGTGTGATTGGCTGCTTGTCAGTAGAATAACGCGGGAGAATTTGGCGTCTTTTATCCAAGCCAGGAGCTTTCTTCTGAAGTCGGCTTGTTTCCCCTTTTAAAAGCAACATTCAAAATGATTTATTACAGACAAAAAATAAGCCTTGTTATTTTTCTTGGAACATTAATGTCTATTTTCTTATTTTTTTTTTTTTGAAGCAATTCGCTGATCCTAACCGTGTTGATTCAGAAAAGATCCAATAACAGGTAATTTTTGTTGGATTTTCTATGAACTAGCTATTGGAATTTGTTGGATTTGACTTGGCTGGGTGTCTGTAAAGAATTGTCAAAAATGGTCTAATTTTTCCAGGAAAAAAATTTAAAAATAAGCAAACGTGTAATCACAAATGATGTTTGAAATATTTTGGAATATCACAAATGCTATTCAAAATCCACAAAATAGAATGTAACCAAGCTGACTTAAACAGAAGTTAAACAAATGAATAAAATTCAAATAAATCCATTCATTAATTCAATTTTCACCTTGACCAACGGTGTCCGTTGCTGAACCACCACAAGTTTCCTCTGCTTTGATTCGTAAACTGTAAAAGAACAAGTATGAATTTGAAATCAACATTTGAATTTCCGTTTTTCCCAAAAGTTGTGTTGTATAGTGCAAAATACTACTAATTACTTTGTGCATATTTATGGTTTATATTTAATTATTAAAGCGAAATTGTAAACAAAATGAGCGTTTTGACCGAGGCCGTCCTACCTTCGGCGCTGGTGACCAAACGTCCTTCAGTCACACCCGACCTCCCAAACGGATCATTGCCACACAACGGCAGGATACTGGCATCGTGCAAGTAACCTGCCTTGGTGAGTTCCAGCGTCGAGATGAGAAGATCCGAGGCCAGCTGGGCAACGTTGCCAACGGATACAGCTGGCTATAAGGGGCATAACAAAGGTACACTCAGGTAAGTTCATTTTAACTCTTCAATCACGTGAAATAATAGCTTAAATTATTATTTCTCTGCAGTATGTGTTCTATCAGCTGATTATCTTCTATGTAGTTCATTTGGAACGGATCGTAAAAGAATCCCTAAAAGTCATAGGAATGAATTTAAAATTTCCTCTAAAGACGTTGTTGGAAAACATTTAGAAGCCCCAATAGTGTGGCCTCTGTATTGTTGCGCTGTATTGCTCGGTATTGCTACCAGGTACAGCGCAGCAATACCGAGGCCACACTAGTGGGGCTAGAAAGACATGAGCCTTTTTCTTTTTCATTTTTCATTTATTTATTATTTGTTCATATTTTCTTTTATTTCAAGTTATTTTTGCATTTTTGGATAACTTTCATCTCACAATTTAAGTTAAGCATAAATATCAACTTTGGCTTTATCAATGCAATGGTCTAATATTAGGTGTTTTACAATAATGTGGGCCATCTTGTTTGCGGGGCAAAAAAAGAACATACCTTGCTAGACGCGGGCGCATTTTGGAATGACTGCATGATGACTTGGAAGCGCCAAAGCTTTTCAATGACGATGCATACACAGCAACGTGTGCAAAATTGCCCCGCGGGCAACATGGCGCAAAACAGTGAAACACCAATACTGTTTTAAAAGTTCCTTGTGTGTGCTAAGGTAATTTTTTTTAAATACAATTAAAACAGAATTAAATTTTTAGGCAGTAGGCCGTAACTATACCAAGGCCGCAAGGGGATGTGGGACTGGTGGGTGCAAAACTCGCATTCTCATGGCCAAATATTTAGATGCCTCTTAGTCGCTTGCTAGTTAGGCCTAGTTTAGCCCCACTAGTGTGGCCGCGATATTGCTGCAGAGATACAGCGCAGCAATATCGCGGCCACACCAGTGGGGCTAGGCCTAGTTCAAAGTTGTGCACAAGTCCAACTCAAAATAACTTTCAGCCTACAGACCACCGAGATCAACTTTACTTTTTTTTTTTAAAACCATAATGATACCGAAATTAAAACAAATCCCTTATTAATTCTCATGCTATATCATCTGTGTTGGCATGACAACCATCCATCCTCATCAGTGCATCACCAAAGTACTCCATAACCTCCTCAAGTTATAATCCCCTGATCCCATCTTCAATAGTTTATCTGAATCAAGTGCTTCCTTCGTATCACAACATTCAACTTTATGCCCGAAAAGGATCACATTCACAAATTTTGTCACTATCATCAAGGATGAAAGATTACCAAAATCAGAGTGAATCCACTCCAATCATTTGAGGAGGATGCGGCACTGATGAACATCTTGATATTTTTTTCCCCGCAGAACAAAATTATAAAGGCAAAGTCACGTTGATCATGTTGATTGTGATAGCGCCACCAAGAGCCTGTGTTTTCCAAGAGTAAACTTTGGTCTGGTGTCTATCCGTCTAAACGGGGAAACACGTAAAAACGACAAGCTGTCGCCCGTCACAAAAATTATAAACACGCACGGAGGAAAACCTGCTGAAAACTGACAATGGCGGAGTTGGACATTGGAAAACATTGCAGCGTAAAATCCTGCAAGCAGCTCGGTACTATTTATACTATAGAAAACATTAAGAGTAAATTGATCACAACTTTATCATGGGAAGAATAGTCCGATAAAGGCTGTTTTTATCTTTCGATTAGCTGGTGTTCTGTGTCACGTGTCGGTGGCAGTGTTTCGTTTTCTCCCGCGTTCCTGACGCCGCTGTGGTTGTGCATAAAGTCTATGGAGAGTCATGGTCTGGACATTTTTCCAAGTGCATTCTGGCAAAATTGGAATGTTTTCCACAACATTATTGCAGAACAGCAGTCACCACATAGAACAGCACTGTGGTGATTTAATGGCAATCGTGTAGTAGTGCAGGGCCCCTGTTTTGTTATGATCAAATTAGATTCAAAAATGTTTTTTATTGCTCAAAAATCACATTTACAATCAAAAGCAGACTTTTCTCAATTCTAATGACACCCGTTTTGCAATTTTGAACAGTTTCTTGAGGTAGAAATCACGATTTTCCTGCGCGGTTTGTGCCTTGCGATTCAGCGCGCCGTGCGTGCTCATGGTACGTCACGCGGTGATCGCCGCGCTGTCATCGTCATTTTACCCCCAAAGTTAACTAAACAAATCAAACGCAGTGGCTATTGTTACGGCAGCCGTAACGCATTTCCCATTTTCTATCGTTACGGTAGAACTTCAAACTTTTATAAAAACATGAGAAGAAAATATAAAATTAGAAGGAAAAAAGTGAATTTGAACGTTATGAAATTCAGACTTTATTTCCCTTTTAAAAAAAATCCTCCAAAACCTCAGGTTAGAAAAGGAAAAAAAAATTGAGTGCAAAATTGAGATGCGAACCCGCAACCTCGCGGTGCAAAACCCACCCTCTATCGACTGAGCTGTCGCACTGCACGCTAAAACGTGGGGAAACAAATAATTACAGATGTACATACCTGCGTGCATATCAAAAAAGTATCGTAGAAGGCGCTGCTAAACAACGGCTGCCGTAACGATAGCCACTTCGAAAATCAAAACCCTGCCCTCTATCTATAACATACCTACCTGTTTATTGAGAATGTCGCCAACTAGTTTGGTATATCTAATCATTTTAAAGTGGATTTTGTTCCCTTATACTGGGAACGGTGCCCTCCACTACACGATCGCCAATTTTTTGGTGGAAAAGAGGCAGTATTTTGGGCGATGTTGTACTAAGTTATAATAGTCCGAGTACTAGTAATGTGGGCCATAGTCCGCATGTCAACTGGGACCCAACTTATCACGTTTTAAACATTCGGACATGGTCTGGCGATAGTAGGGTCCAAGTCGGACAAGTACTTCTCGTACTTGTGGCCCGTCTTCAATCTTGTGATTTTATCATACCAAATGCCTTCTGCGACCTTAAGTTGATTTCAGCTTTTTTTGTTTTGTCTTTCAGCTTTTCCCCTCACTTGCTGGGTACAAAAGATTATCAGCTTTTTGGCACCTTGTCCCAGGTGTTTTCAGCTCTTTTTACCAGTGGTCACTCACACCTCTGTAGGATCAATATTGATATTGACCCTATTTTTGTAATGTTGAACAGTATCGATCGTTTGGCAGAAAATATGATTTTCTCGTTTCTGTTTTGCAGTTGATACCGTGCAAATCAGTGCAATTTTGTGCATGATGCGAATCAATGCGGTTTTGTGCATTCATTGTGCATGGTTGTACCTGCTATCTTTTTCATACATGTTTTGGTCTCTGCTGTCATTGCATTCTAACTGTCCGTCATTACAAAATCCTCCAAAAATCAGCAATTTAAAAAAAAAATTATTAGTGTTAAGCCCTCCAAAAATTGAACACAGGAGTGATTTTGAGGGTCATCTTATCTGCTGAATAATGTGCATTTCTGATGGTTACATGGAAGTGTTTAGCCATAATACACTGCCACAGGGCAAAGGCTTTTTGAAGATGTATAAAGTAAAATTTTCTGAGGAGGTGTCTTTAGATAGAATCAATCTCAGAGCTGGGACTCCTCTCAAGTCCTTAGATTTGTTGTAACTTGTTTAATTTCTCATTATCACTTTTGATTTCCTCTACAGATTTCTTGCCGTTTCAGTGCAATGGATGTTCAGGGATATTTTGGTAAGATTGCCAAATTATGTCGAACTATTTGAGAACATTTGTACCAGTAGTTTTTCCTGTGTCTTTGACTGCTAAAACACCAATGCGCAGAGAACATGCCCGCTTGTTATGGTTAAATTATCTTTAACCCTAACTCCCTAGGCCTTTTTGCTAGGATGTAGCCTCAATCCTGCAAAATCCTTCAATTGGCCTCATGAAAAAAATAGCACATATATCCTCAATCCTGCAAATTCCTCCATTATTTCTTGAATATGGTCCATGGAGGGGTGACCATTGCCTGAATCCTGCAAAATCCTGCGGCAGTGACTGTCAATATGTTGAGGCTTGGCCAGTGACACCCTGGAGCAGTACGGAGGATTTCAAGCATAACCCAGGCCTATATTTATGCATGGCTGAGCAAAAACAACACAAGGTCCGGCCCAAGACCTTGACAAAGTGTATCCTACGAAATCAGTAACACACTTTTGCCATGTAACCTCAATCCTCCAAATTCCTCCACTTTGGCAAAGAGGATTTTGAAGGATTCAGGGCGGTTAGGGTTAAACTTTGAATGAATTGTTTTTCTTGGGATAAAATTCATGCAACATCTCATTTTAATACAAGGCGCATTCCCCAGAGTAAAAATGCAAATAATTTTATTGTAATTGTTAGAATAAAAAGAAGTAATTCCTTCATCTTTTAGATTTCTATAATTTAAATTTTTTTGTTGACAGTGACATTTCATTTACTCTTTTGCAGCTTGGATCACCGAAGTTTTGACGCCCATTGCTGTTCACAGGTAATAAAGGGAGGAACAAACTTAAAACTGTTCTTTTTATATCAAATTTAAATTTGAAATGGATAAATCAATTTGTTAATTGATCTTAAATCTCATTTTTTCAAAGATTAAAGGGAATATACATCATTTGCTTTTGCTGTAATTTTCAGAAATGGATGGAATTGGGAGGTGGGAAATATATAGCAAATATAGTTACACTGACTTTTTTGAGGTTTTGGGTTCGAAAATGCTATAAAAACCAAGAAAAAACAATCATTTTCCTGTAGTCTGGTTCCCTGACTCCATATAAGAAGAAACAGAGCAGTTTACATACATTGGGGAATTGTAAGGTCAGGGAACCAGTCTAGCTGGCTTGTACCCGTTCATAGGTGTGTAATCGATTGCAAACAAGTGCGATGGTCAATTGGGGCCAGTATTTGAAAAAAGCCAGTTTTTTCCAACGCTGGTCGGCTGATCAGCGTTGGAAATTGATACAAAAATACCACTTTTCTTGAAAATGACAGTATACCAGGTGCCATGATTTTACAGGATGCTTTACACTGTCATTCACTAACAGTACAGCAAGGTATTTCAAAATGATTTGGTAGTTTTATTTTTTGATGTTTGCAAATGTTGTATTTTCCCTTTAAATCTTTAAAAGCGTTGTGATTCCCAGCAAGATTTGCATGCTTTGAAATGTTAAGCCTTTTACCAAAATAAGTTTTGTTTGCAACTTTTTAAAGTACCAATTTACAAACCCCTAAATGAATTTGATCACAAGAAACGAAAATGTGCAGCAAACTGCTTACTGACTGAACTGAAATATAAAACTTGAAAACAATTTTGTTCTTACTCAATGAACTTAAGAAATCTCAGCTATGGCATTGAAATGTCAGGGCCTTGCATTTATGATTTCAATATGATAAATTATTTAATGTACATCTTTCCAGTGCAAAATGCCATCACACAGTAGTGATTAAATAGGTTGATTTTTTTTTTTTTACTTTTACGTTTATATATGGTTTATGGCTTCTGACTAGCTCCCCTTGAACAGAGACATTGACAAAATGGGGAACCGCCAACATAGGGCTGGATAGCTCAGTTGAAAGAGCACTGGAACGGAAATCTGGAGGTCGCAGGTTCAAACCCTGCTCCAGTCAATTTCTTTGTTCAAATTCAAATTATTAAAGAGGTTGTGGAATGCTCGAAGATATTTCCCTCATTTTTCGGGTATATGTAGCCTAAGGTGTGATGAAATAAAAATGACTATTGTGTCTGTCATGAAATGAGTACAAAAGGTACTTTTGAGAGCTGTTTTTCAGGTCCTGTTTCAACCCGAACGTGCAATTTGTGTAAAAGTCGTCGTTGGGGGCAGCAAACAAAACATAGTAAATCGTGACGTAATAAACAAGACTCCCGATGCAGCGTAGTATAAATGAGTCCTGTTTATTACGTCACGATTTTTCTCATTTTACGAAGAACCCGACGACTGTTGATTTCAATTATGCGCTCGCTGACCAACAAATTACTCGATGAATTTCAGTTTTATAAACATGTAAACGCACATTACAAAAGAATGGGACTTTGTCATTATGATATATATGGGTCTACTCTACAATAAAAAAATATAAAAAACAAAACAACTTTCAGCATTCCACAACCTCTTTAACTATGTTTATGAATGATCAAATGTTGCAGGATTATTTTACAGGCCAACATAACCCACGACCACAAAGACTTGGACGCGCCCACCAGCTATGGATGCAGTTTTCCCGAGTGTCCAGACAAAGAACTGATTCCTGTGAGCTGTCAGCATTGTAGGAACAACTACTGTCTCAGGTGAATAACTTCATGCTGTCATTTAAAGATGTAACCTTATTTCATACAAACCTTCTTGGCAGAAATTCCATGTTGTGTTAAACCTAACCTTCCCGAATCCTCCAAAATGCTCTTTGCAAAATGGAGGATTTTGCAAGATTGAGGCTATAATGGCAAAAATGTGTGGCTGATTTCGGAGGATGCACTGTGTCAAGGTCTTAAGCCGGACCTTGTGTTGTTTATGCTCAGCCATGCATACATTTTAGGCCTATATTATACTTGGAATCCTCCACGATGCCACTGGCTCTGCCTCAACATTATTGACAGTGATTGCTGGAGGATTTTGCAGGATTGAGGTAGTGGTCACCCCTCCAAAGACCACATTCAAGAAATAAGGAGGATTTTGCAGGATTGAGGCTGTATGCAATTTTTACATGGAGGCAGTTGAAGGAATTTGCAGGATTGAGGTTACATCCTAGCAAAAATGCCTAGGGAGTTAGGGTTAATTATGTCAAATTCTGTGGTAGTGCAGTGAGTGATAGGGTAATGTTCCTGTATAGACAATCCTGGGGGAGAGTGGCCTAGTAGTTAGAGTTTGTGACTCATGATCAGAGGGTCAGGGGTTCGAATCCAGCTGCTGGCCATGTGTTGTGTCCTTGGGCAAGCCACTTTAGCCCCACTTACATCTCTCCACTCAGGAGTATAAATTGTTTTTGTTTTTCTGAATGCAAGTGTCCCCTCTAATCACAATTTTTTTGTGCTGGAATTATTTTAGCCATCGCCACCAACAAGATCATGACTGCACCAAGCTGGAAGAGACGGCACCGAGAATGGCCAAGACAGCCGAACTGGTGGAGAAAATCCAAGGTAGATGGTTGTTTCTGATTCCATAATCTGCTAATGAACTTTTGAAATGTTTGCAATCCTGTGTGTTGTTCAAACTGTCTACAGGGTGAGTTTAAAAAAACGAAACCCAAATGTTGGGACTATTGTCGTATTGAAGTTTTTGCATGTAGCACTTTCAAAATCTAGGACATGAAAGCCCAATTCAAAAGCTTTCTTTTAGTATAAGAATCATTGAAATCACGCATGCACTTTTCAAGTTACGGAATTTTAAACACAACCACCGTTTTAAATTGCTGTCCAGGGATCACAAAAAAGGTGTGCATTCTTTCAGCAAAACGAATACAATTCACACACATCCCTATGTGACTTGTTTTCGTTTTGCTGAAAGAACATTGAACTTTTTTGTGATCTGTGGTCAAAACCTTAAAAAAGGTGGTTGTGTTTAAAATTCCGTAACTTGAAAATTACGAGTGATTTGAATGATTCTTGTACTAAAAGAAAGCTTATGAATTGGGCTTTCATATCCTAGATTTTGAAAGTGCTACATGCAGAACTTCACTAATGCAATAGTCCCAACATTTGGGTTTCATTTTTTTACTTACCCTGTATGTTGATTGGATGTAGAAGTCATACTTGACGCAAATGCAAAGCGAATTCGACATCAGGAAACACAGCTGATAATCAACACTTTTTTGACTTGTGATGTTACAGAGACTTACAAAGCCAAGGGTTCCGCAGCCACTAAGAGGAAGATTGGGGCAAAGTCTCAGAAGACGGCAGCTAAAGTAGCATTGATGAAATTGAAGATGAACGCGCTAGGAGACAAAGCTATCCCACAGGTATTGCACTTGTTCCTCTCTGTAGTCTTGTAGTTTGTATTGACCTCGTCATCTGTGATGTCATGGTTACAAAGTAAAAGTTAAGAGGGACACAGACTGAGACCTGGAGTGCTCTGAAACGTGCAAAACTAAAAGATTTCCATTTTGCTTGCAGACGGAGCGACTGTACTTCCGAGTTGTTCTTCCCCGCGGCCAGGGCCAGGACCAGGGCCTCAAGAGCCAAGCTGTCTTCTTTTCCTCTCTATGGAGTGTGGGGAGGGCTGTGGATAAAGTCGCCTCCATCGCCAAACTCAGGAACGATAATAACGTTGCAACGGCCAAGGTAGGTAAAGTTCTTAAGAACGATTATTCTTTGTCTTAAAAGGGAATGTACAACATTTGCTTTTGCAGCAATTTTTGGAAATAAATGGATTTGGAGGATTAGTATGTTTTAGCAAATGTTGCTGAAATGACTTGTTTCACGTTTTGGGCTGGTAGATGCTAAAAAAAACCATGAAAACCAATCTTGTTCTTGTAGTCTGGTTCCCTGACCTCACTTTAGATGACACAGAGCAATCATGACTTTGGGAAATTGTAAGGTCAGAGAATCAGTCTAGCAGGCTTGTACCCCTTCACAGGCGTGCAAACAATTGCGGAATAACTAATTATGAAAGTTAGGAGCAGTTTTTGAAAAAAGCCAGTTTTCTCCAACGCTGGTCGGCCCCCTTTAAGGCCAGTTAATTGTTTTGCAAAACTTTTCTTTAAGGTTCCAAACCAGTAAATAGACTGCCATAGACCTCAGTGGTAATTACGCCCACTTCCCAAAATTATTAAAAATACTCACAACTCTCCGAGGTGTTTGAAACACACATGAAATTAAAGCTTATTCCATCATCTTTCATTTCAATTTTTGTTGGGTTATTAATCTAATGACTTTTGGGAGAAAATTCCATCCAAAGATGATCACCCCTAAAAGCAGTCCTCAAGCCCGTCGCCATTTTGAAAATGGACGCCTACGCTCCATTGCAAAATAGAGCCATTTCGGGGCCTAATTTCGTCCAAATTCCACAGAAATACGAGCTCACAGTCCTCTGCATGGCTTCCAACCTTCCTTTTTTGACAAACCTCAAGTTCACGGCCCTCAAAATGCTCTAATACCTGAGACTTTAAGGGCATGGAAATTGTGATTTGGCTGGCGTAGGTAATTTAGGGCTGATTTACAGGTCTGCACCTCTAAGGGCTCCGTGCACAAGTACCCCCTCAACGGTAAGAAGGGGAGAGTTGGGGGGGGGGGGGAGACCACTGGGAGAGATTCGAATGGCCCCCCAAAAATTTGAACAACACAACAGGGATATTTATTTCTATTTTTTTAAATTTTTTTTTTACAAATTTTGTTTTAATTACTCACTACATCACAGATGTTTATTTTAAGCACAGTTTGACTGAAAATTGTGCTCTGGAAGATATATTCCTAGCTTTTTTGGATTAGTTGTACATTTTGAAAACTAATTAAAATTTTGTTTACTTCAGTTTAACTCGCATGGTTTAAGTGGGTTTATATTGCCAGGACAGGTCACCATTTTTTGTTGTGAGACTGATTCAAAACAATGCATTTTTTTCTCCAAAAAAGATATTTTAGGAATCTGGGATTAATTGTGTACAGTTTTTGTTTTTGTTCATGTGTAGAAATTAAGACTGTTCCATCCTGAAACCGGGGATGTTCTGCCTATGGAAAGCAGGCTCAGCACCCTTTTGGAGGGAGAGACACCCCTGTACAATGGAGGTTGCCTCGTCCTGGAGTACGTTGACAATTCCTGCACCGTCTTGGAAAATGTTGACGAGTATTTATAACAGAGAAACTGCATCAGCTCACTTCAAAATTGATGCCCAACACCCCAAAAGGTAAGTTTCATATATGTTTTGAAACCTCAAGCAATTCTGAAACTTATAGTATTAAGTTTAAAGTGTTAAAGCTCACTTCAGTTGGGTATCTTCAGGGTAGGGGGTCTAAACCTCCCCCCCCTTGGGCAGCAAAAAAATAGGAAGATCATGCACATACCTGCTGACCCTCCTTAGCAGATATGATTTTATCTATTTGTATTTCTTCCTATGACCGCATGTGGGTCAACAGTTCTGAGGACCGTAGTGATTTTTCTGCTTTTGCTGGCCCTTGTATGTTCTGTGTTAGTCTTTTATATGTCATGTTCTATATAATTTCTTGTTACCTATGCCAAGGAGGTTATTTTTTTCATCGGCATTGGTTTGTTTGTTGGTTGTTTGGTTGGTTGTCTGTGAACAGGATAACGCAAAAAAGTTATGGACGGATTTTCATGAATTTTTTTTAGGGATGGTCCTTGGTACAAGTACAAATCGATTAGATTTTGGAAGTGATCTGGGTCTGGATGCAGGATTATTTTAAGGATTCTTCACCATTTTGTATGTGCGAATATGCTATGTGTAGAGATCATGAACGTACCTCTGTGTACAACTGAGCAGCTTCGTGTGCGTGCACCAACCCGGTGACCCTGTATGCCTTATCACCCACCAAATCTAACCACACAGGTCAATGGACTAGACCATTTTATACAATGGGGGAGTGGAGAGGTAGGCCAACACATGCATAAATACATGTAGACTACACAATCTTTGAGTTTAAGGATTTGTTTTCGAATAACTAACACTGTCTTATAGAGCGATATAAAGGGACCAATATTGTTATCTTTCGATAATTCAGAATATGAGCAATCCTGTTGACATTTTAAAGGGAAGATACAACATTTGCAAACATAAAAAAAAATGAAATGATCAAATTATCAGGAAATATCTTACTTGATTGTTAGGGAATGACAGTCTAAGGCATCCTGTAAAATCGTGGCTCCTGGTGTGCTGCCATTTCAAGAAAAACTGTATTTTTCGGAGAAAACTGGCTTTTTTTCAAAAAGTGCTCTTACTTTTTCATATGTAGTTTGTCTGCATTTTCTTTGCAATTGATTACACACCTGTGAAGACTACAAGCCTGCTAGACTGATTCTCTGATCGTACAATTCCCCAAAGTCCATAAATTGCTCCGTTTCATCTTAGGTGGGGTCTGGGAACCAGACTACAAGAATATGATTGGTTTTCTTGGTTTTTTTTCCCCAGCATCTACGAACCCAACACGTGAAACAAGTCAGTGTAACAATATTTGCTATAACATACTAATCCTCCAAATCCATTTATTTCTGAAAATTGCAGCAAAAGCAGATGTTGTACATTCCCTTTAAATGTGCCATAAAATATGGAAGTCCATTGGATATGCGAGTATTTGTTTTGGGTGTTCTGACAATATGGCGGGGAATTGTTCAGCCTTGGCGGAGGTTTGCACTTTGTGCTTGCTAGCCTCGTATTGTTTTTATTGGCTAAATAAAATACTACTATTAATAATGACATAAATAGCTCCGTCAAATTGGGCTCTAATCTGCCTTTCTAGTTTTCTTTGTAGAGTCAGTTTGTACATTATCCCGCGTTGAACATTGTGATAAACGGAGAATCTTATTTAACTTCACAAGTTGTTCATTTGAAGCATTTGTAAAAGTTGTGGTGATCCCTTTGAGTTATGTTCATTTTTAATTATTGATGATGGAGGTTTGTCCTTATTGAGATTCCTGGGGCCCTTACCAAGCTAATTGAGTTAAATGATGGTTTTCCTCTAATCTTGTGCGACAGAAATGCAAGACATTAGTGTGTAACCTAAAAAACATTATGTATGGCAGGTATCACAGAGGGTGTTCTTTGTAATTTTTGTAAGAGCTCCCGTTTTGAAGTCTCTCCTTTGGCACTTGTTAATTTAGGCTTTTACCTGCCCTGTTGAATTTTCACTTCAGGGAGAACATGGGCTCATGTCGATGAGTCATACACATATATGTTGCGAAACATCGTGGAGGAACAGAGAAGAGAATGTGGCGGGGGAGGGGGGGGGGGGGGGGAAAACCGAATGTATCCCTAATCTTAAATCTTAATCATCTGTATTTCTGCCTGAAAATGTTAGGATCAGAACTTCGCTCCAGCAGCTGCTTATTATTGGTCCGGCCATTTTCGTATGTGGGACGTTAAAAAAGTGATGTAATTGATACGGGCAGATGACTCGCTTTGCCCGGCCAGGGAAATGGAAGGAAGGCTTGTGGGCGAGGAGGGGGGGGGGGGGGGGGGGGGGGGGGGGAGGGGGGGGAAGGGGTGGTTTAGGATCTGGCTTCCTCGCTAAGGTGTGCCCGATGGATAGATGAAGGGTTTAAATACCAAGTTACAGCGTTCCCTTGGGGCCCGACGTTACTTCATTTAGGCAGGTGCAAACAGCACGGTTTGCCTAATGACGCCAATTTATTTCCCCCAGTGAAATAAAAGTCGCTTGTTTTTGTGCCAGGTCCGAACAACTTGTTTATTTTTTTCTTTTTGGTGGAGCACAATATTTTGTAGGCTGTTGGCACTAAGGACTGAGTGCATTTGTGTTACTCATTCTTCATGTAATTGACTTTAAAGGTAGAGTAGATCATTTGTAGCTTTCCAAAAAGTAACTGACAAAGATAGTGATGGTTTAAAGATAGTGATGGCACTAACCTCCCTTTAAAATTAGTCTTTCTGGCATGCTGTCATTTTGAATGAAACAATTAAAGGTCATTTCTAAAGATGTGTCGAAAGAAGCATTTTTGGAAGTTCCCGTTCGTAAGGCGTTTTTAATTCGGCGAGGCCGTGATTGGGTGTGGGCAAGCATTGACATGACGCATGCGCGGTTGCTATAATCGCGTAACTGCAATCGGCTGAATGAGAATGTGTCCCAGACGCTGATTTCAGGCGCAATTCAAAACATGACTCTGCATCTTTTGAATTGAAATTGGGATACAAGAATATTGTTTTCTCGGAATATGTACAGCATGCACTGAGCCAAAACTTGATCAGGTCAGTTGTTCAGCACCCTTCTTTAGATTGTGAGCACTTTTGTTGCTTCAAAAGGAAAAAAACAACACAAATGATTAAAGTAGTCAACCTTTAAGTTAGTAGAGCAACAACACGGATAGGGACTTATATGTGCACATGTCTTCAGTTATTCTTATGATTTTGTTTTTCAACTGATCTGTGACTGCTACATCAAACTGATTTAAAAGCCTGATGAACAGGAGTAATAACAGTGAAGTACTTTTTGATATTTTAGCGGGATGCTGCACTTTGCACGGCATCCTGCCAGCTGGTTGACCTCAATTTGCATACTGACCCCAATGGGTGTGGTAAACCTTGGCGAAGCAATTTTGCGACATGTTTTCATCATCAACGTTATGTTTTGCGTAACAGCGATACGTTTTGGAATGTTTTGGAGTGTTTTCATAGAGATAATGTAATGTTTAAGTATTGAAAGTCTGAAAGAAACATATTTGGAGTGTTTTCATAGAGATAATGTTGTAATATCTAACTATTGAAAGTCTGAAAGAAACATTTGGAGTGTTTTGGAGTGTTTTCATAGAGATAATGTTGTAATATTTAACTATTAAAAGTCTGACAGAAACAAATTTGCTGAAAAAACAAAATAAATTTAGTAATTTTTTATGTGGCAGCCTTGACTTCAGAGGACAGTGAAATTGGGGCATATTTTGTGCCTGCACATGTATACTCTTTAGGCCTTTTACAAAAAAGGTGACACATAGACATCAGACGACAGACATCAGACAGCATTGGACCTATTAATATAGGATGTAAATTACTCAAATTTATGTCTTATTTCCCTTGGAAATTCAAGATAAATAGTATTAAAATCTCTACACTCATAGTTTAAGTTTGATTTGCTTTCTTGGTTGTATCCCCAGCCCCATCAAATAAAAATCCAAGATGGCGGAAAGTTGGAGTGTGGCCCTTGTGTTGCTATGGTAATGTATGAGCCTGAAAGGGTCGCACTGGACATTTGATGCATTCTTTCCAAATTTTTACCCAAATTTTGTGTCAAAGAGGACCTGAAGCATAAAAATTAAGATGTAAAGCTTTTTTGTAAGTTTAAAAAAAAACCATCATCTGTCGACCAAGAGAAATATTGTTAAAAAGTCAAAATATTATTATATATTCAAGATAATAACTCCCAGGTTTCCCTTGGGACAAAACAAAACGCCCTGACAAACGCCACTAAGATGTGAATGCAACAGTGAAATCTCCGTCAAAATAAAAAGTAACTAGACAAAAAAAAGCAACAACCTCTCCCCCCTGATAAATCTACGTCGCATGCTCGGACCAATTAACCTGGAAACGTCTTCAATTTACCCTTGCTCTGACCCTTAAATTGCTGGGAAATTGGGCCAAAATGAGCTCGTGGGGAACGGATTGGGGAGTGATTTTTTTTATGTCGGCTTTTGTAGTTGTGCCAAGGGGGTAGTGGACTGAGTCCGCACTGTGCTGACATTTCGGACGAATTAATGCAATTTGATTAACCTACAGTAACCTCTTAGATGTTTTCTTTTCATTTTTTTTTCTATTTGACCAGAGAATTTTCAAACAGATTTATTTTCTTTGAATGAGACTTTGTTCAGCAAGTTGTTTACCAAACAGTGGTCACAATATTTATACCGATTTCAAACTTGGGAAAATAAAAAAGTTGAAGGATAATATTTTGGATTGTGTTTGCCTCATTACTGACAGTTATCTTACATTATTTTGTGCTGAAGTTGTGCATTATTTGGTTTATTCTATTACAACCTTCTTTGAATTTTTGCTGGTGACACTTTTTAAATCCCCCAAAAGTCCACCACTGTGGAACAATTCAATAAATTTTGTTTTTGTTGTCCAGAAAAGAGGACATAAACCCCATTACAAGGAATATTGGAAGATGACAGCATCAACTTAATTTTTTTTTTTTTTTTAAAGTCACAGGGTTCTCGTGGCCCGGAAAACACCTTCGAAAAGTCATGAACTTTTATTTTCAATTTCTAAGCCTGGAAAAGTCATGGAAAAATGGAATTTTGTGACGACTAATTTATTTTAAATTTTAAACTTTGCATATTTTCATAATTTAGCATCGGAAATCTGATTTTTATACGCAACGAAATGTGACCAATTTCTCTGATACATGTAGCAGCATTTTGATAGACATTGTCGCTTTGTTTTGTTGTTTTTCTGTTTCCGTTAAGCACATTTCACGGAACAATTTTTACAGTTTTGATCTGCATTTTGATGAACTAGGTCATGGATTTTTATAATTTGGTCGTGGAAAAGTCACAAAATTGTATTGTCCTAAAGGTTCAGGAACTCTGAAGTCATATTTTTTGGTCAAAATACTGTTGCAGATCTTGAAACTGGGATACCACTGTCAAAACAAAAACATGTGTTCACCATATTCATAAGCTGATATAGAAGCCACTCTATTTTTGGCTTTGTGTCCCGAGCTTGTCTTCAGCCGAATGAGCTTAAAAATCTAAACCGATTTCACTGCAACACGGCAGAAATTGGGGTTAAATATTCAAATCGTCCACTCGCACCTATAGTAGTTTAATTTAACGAATCGGGTCGGGCTTGTCAATTATGACAAGATTGATTCCTTCAACTTCCATATTCTCTCTTTATTTTGCGGGGACCTGGGAACTATTTTTAGCTCAGTACATCCGATGAGGGTCGCTTATAGCATACAGGAAGGAAATAGAATTGTGAGACTTTGGATCAATTTCTTTTTTTGATTTTTTTGTTCGCTTGATTTCCTTGTTGCAAATCTTGCATTGTCATGATGAAAGTTCATGTAATGTCGACAAATCTTTTCAGTTTAATGTCCAAAACAAGGCACTTGAATTTTTTTTCTCCATACTTATTTTTTTTTTTGAAACATAATACACTGACAACAGGAAGATTCAAACTAATAATTAAATGTTGAAAACTAAACTCTTGAATTTTTTTTTCAAAGTTTTGATATTTGGAAACATAATGCATTGAAAATAAGAATGATCCTTGCATTTATTGATCAATAACATGTTCGTTCGAGTAGCTGTCGGTAAATCTGGATTGAATGAAATTGTAGATAATAGGCTAAACACAAGAATACCTAAAATTACAAAATTGCAATATTTGTAATAATGAGGAAGCGGCAGCTATTGCAGTACTCTGTACAATACGTTGTTTTTTTTGAAGTTTTTGAATTATTTGTTCAGGTGTTCAAGTGGCCATTATCTTCCCCAATTTTGCAATAACTATATCTCCCCCCTCCCCTGCTAAACCCCTCCCCACCCAGAAACCTGTACAGTTACTTTTTATGCAATTTTTTCGCCAGAAATTTTAACTATTAAAATAAAAAACAAAGACAAAAAAAACTTCATCTCTGTTTCTGCTTTATGATTATAAATACAATGAAAACCTTCCTTTACTAGGTTTTGTGCTTAAAAATAATTTTTCATCATTTGTTCCAAAAAAAATCCATATGTTGAAAAACAAAAACAACGTACACTATCTACACGGTGAAAAACACAGAGGCATCGCATCGCCATCTACACGGTAAAAAAAGTTTTGTTTTTTTTAATGTTAAATTGATACATGTTATTTAATTTAAAAAAAAGGAAAGAAATGGGTGGGGTGTTGTTCCTTGTAAGAGAAAAAAGAGGGTGATGATTTGACCCCTTATGGAAGACAATTGTCCGACAACAACTCACAACAGTGACCGGGTGACTTTCGCAATCCTTGACACACTGATTAGAAGTTTCCTCAGTCAGAGGTTATTTCTGTAGCACAGGAAGTGGTCGCTTGCCAACTGGGGGTGAGATTTATGACAAACTCGGCACGCTGAGGCTTACCGGGCTCGGCGATGTGTCATCGCGTCAGAATCATGTCATCGTGTAAGATCATGTCGTGGCACGACTCGCGCTGCTCAGAACGGGTTAAGACGCTTCGGTCGCGTGATGCAAGATTCTCGCAGATAGTAATGTCGAGTTGCTACGTGTAGAGGTTTGACGGGATTTGTCACTGTGGCTCTCTGGGTGTGGTCGATAACACTAGGTGAGTTGTATAGTTTGCAGTTGTTGACAGCTGTTATTTATGAAATAGAATTACTTTTTTTTGGAGGGGGGAGGTAGCTAGGGGTACCATACTTTCTTAAGGGTGTAAAACTGTTAATAAACGTAGCCTGCACACAGTGGTGTAAATTGTTGAGACGACAATGGGAACATTCCTGAAACTTCCCCATACTTGCAAATTTGAATGCCATCTGACACTTGCAGGGACTGTTCCTAGTAGAATTTCGTAGTCTCATAGAATTTTGTATGAATAACTCTGCAAATAGTGTACGTATGTGTGTGCTTTACTTCCATTACAGTAATGTTGGTTTTCACTACCGGTATTAACATTTGTAAATTTAACTTTAGTTATGAAAACCTTAATGTTTCCTTTATTAAGTTCTTTCCAATGTCCTCTCCCTCATTCCAACTATCACGGTAACATAGGCCTATATCCTCCCTAAAAAGGCCCTGGGATTTACGCCTGTGGCTGCTTCACTAGCACTACAATCAAATATATTGTTTTATTGTATTGTGCCATTTAAGGCAAAATGTTACTCGGCAAGGAATTAATTGAATAAACGTTGCTGCGTAGCTCTTGATATGCGTGAGCTTTCTTGCCAGACATAAAGTGTTCCTTAGTAGTACGGCAGATAGGTGATGGGATTGTGCCTTTGATGATACAAGCATGGCATTTGGCACACAGTCCATGGGTGTCGCGAGGGGGCGCAAGGGGGAGGGCACTTGGGCCCCCCCCCCCCCGGAAAAGCAGCCCCCCCCCCAAAAAAAAAGGAAAAAGAGAAAAAAGAAAAGAAAAAGAGGCGCGAATTCATAGTGGTGTAAATTTAATGGGTTGGGGGGGGGGGGCAAAATGTCCCTGCCCCCCTCTAAAACTGATAAATCGAGAATATGTTGAGAAATACAGGATTTTTTTGGGGAAAAATATGTTTTGCCCCCCTCTAGAAAAAATCCTGGCGACGCCCATGACACAGTCATGGGTGTCATGACACAGTCATTTGTCCTTTAAAAAAATATAGGTAGAATAACAAGCAATGGCAGCCATCTTGAAAATTTTGAAAATTGCTTGTTATTCTACAAATATTTTCTAAGGACAAATCTGCGATGGCCCTACATGTATAGCCAAATTTCTTTCTTAAGACACACTCTGACTGTGTGCCAAATGCCATGCTTGTATCATCAAAGGCACAATTCCCCCAAATATCTCCCCTATCGGCCCCACTATAGTTGCCATTCTCCTGACCAATGAGCTTAAAGTACCAAAAACATACTATTGACTCCGCGCACAAGTAGCCCCTCAACGGTTAAACAGAAAGAGTTGGGGGAGACCACTAGAATGGACATTCGAACAAGCTGCCGATAGCACACACGCAAAGCCGCAGTACAATGGGCACGCTCAGACTAGAATGAGCTGTGCGAACTTTGTGCCTTACGCGTGTAAATCAGTGCATGCATGCAATGTGTGCCTTCCACTGGAGCTTTTGAAAGTGGTAAAAGAAGCGCCATCTAATGTACTGTTCGCGCATGGCGTCCATAATTATCGCTAGAATTCAATAAGAGAATAAATATCTGCTTGTCATGTTTTAAACAAGTACATTTAAAGCTGGCTATAGGCACCTGGATGCGACAGCTGCCAGGCACCCAGGTGGTTTTAATCGTACTTGTTTAATACTGCCCAAGCACATATTTATTCCTGTTCATACATGTACACACCTTTCGGTCTAAAAGTCAAATTAGGTGGTGTCAAAACAAGCCTTCATTTCACAAATCTCCAATGATTTTGTTCAACAATTTTAGTTCATGTGTTGTGAAACACTCCTCTAGCCATGTCGTATGGTATGTGCCTCGTGCGAGTTGTGCTTAAAATCTTCTTACATGGAAATCGACGTCCCCCGTGGCACATACTGCGCATTGTGGTGCAGAAGGCAGGAATTGTGTTTAAAACCAACCGGTTTTTATGTGTGGTTTAAAACCACCCACGTTATCTAGTATACGAGGAATGGATAAACTGTCTCAGATATTTATGAATGAGGGTTGTAAGTATTTGAAGCAATGCATATGGCTATTTTCATTTGTTTCCCCCAGCCTCAGTAGTCATGCCAAACCTTTGGCTGATCACGCTTGCCTTGGTACAATGGTCGACTTTTCTTTAAAATATTCTGTTATAAACCGTTCTCACATGGGATTTCTGGTCCACAGAATATGTTTTACTTCGATTTGCATGGGTTACGTTTATAAATTCATTTTTCAAGGTCTTAACCAAAATAAACAAAGTGTGTTATCTAGTATAGTGCAGTGTTGTAGTACTCGTACTCGGTACTCGTACTCGAGTACTACTCGAGTACTTTTCTTGGAGTACTCGTACTCGTACTCATACTCGAATGTCAAAGTACTCGTACTCGAAATGACGGTACTCGTACTCGGGCAGCAAAGTACTCGTACTCGACATGTCAAAATTTGTACTCGATCATTAAAGTACTCGTACTCGAATAGCAGAACTCGGGGGAAAAAAATGATATACAGTTTTACTTACATGCAGTTTGAAGTGTTTGATTGGCTTGTGGAGAAATCGAAAATTTCTGATTTTCCTTTGTGCACGCACGTCCGGACAAACACATTTAAC